GTGCTGTCAAGGGAGAAATTACACATTTACTCTTGCTTTTTCTTAAGGAGACGGCCACCATAGATCAAAACATGGATTTACAAGCCAATTTTCAACATGAAATATAGACACCAGGAATCAATTTAAGGCTTGCTTCTATTTTAGCAAACTCTGCTTGCGTTTAGTCCCAGGTAAATAATGCGAGCCAGCCCAACCCTGCTTCCCTGTTAGTTCAGAAGAGAATGGAGCTTGCTCTACTTACCGGTCCATCCTTCTGTCATCCTTCCAATATAAAAGATGAGGAAAGGTGCAAGAGCTGGACTGAAACTAGTGGGGGCCTGTGATGAAAGCCCACACCAAAAGTGTGCAGGAAACCTACATTTATAGCTGTTGCCCTAATCAAGGCTTTTTATTTAGTGTGTTGTGCAATACAGAACCTAGAATCTAGAAAATCTGAAATGCAACTTTAAAAGCATGTTTCTATCCCTCATTGTTGGTTTTTGAAAAGAAAGAAATGTGACCAGTTTCTGTTAATGCTTCAGGATGAAAAAATAGATGAGTGGTGTTGCCAGGAGTTTTATCTTCTATTTCAAACATTTAGAGAATGTGAGGGATTCACAGCTTCCTTTCATGTCTCCAAACCCCTGCCCCCTTTGTTTTGTCAAAAAACCAAAAACAAATTCTGTTGATTTGCAATTTTTCATTTTGTATAAATTAGATAAACGGGCATTTTGCAGGGAAATTTACTTAAATCATCATCAAAATCTTTTGCACACCTAATTCAAAATATCTTGGTAGAACAGTAACACAGCTGAGTCCATGAAGCTGAGCCCTTTTCTTCATCTTTACTGTTTTGATGGAGTCGCTCTAATGCTGGGACTGCCAACCCGGCTCCTGTGGGCCCCACAGCACCCACAAAGCCTTCCTTCTTCCTCCCCAATGCCCGATGCCTGCGGGTGGTGGGGCTGGTGACCCCCGTGAATATTTGTTTTATTTAGTTTGGGTGGGGATTGAAATTGTAGGCACTCCCTTTGCTTGTGGATAGCCTTTTATGAATGGGTGGGTGGATTGCTCAAGCATGCAGAAAGGTGCAGCTGGGGAGAGGTGTATGTGTGGGGGAGATGGGAGTATATATGAATGTGGTGAGGGAGAGAAGGAAAGATGCACTTGGGCTGAGAGATGGGGAAATATGTGCTTGCAATGTGGATGTAGTGAATGAGAGATGTGTGCATGTGATGCGTGTGCAAGAGTGTGGTGTAGCCACCCTGTATATTTTTCCTGGTACTGGGGAATGCTCCCTATTGTTATTAGACAGCAACAGTATCACAGAGAGAGGGTCAATATCAGAACCAGCAGGACATAGCTCACTTCCTGTGGAAAACATGAGGTTGTCTTGGGGGTGGGGGAAAGCAGCAATAACTATGCTCTAGTTTTGTGTTAGGCCATGCTCCCACGGCAGCCATTTTGTGGCTGGCACCCATAGCACTTCCTCAGAATTTGAAATGTGGACATTTTGACCACTGGGCCCTCGTCTAATGAGTGTTATTAGATCCCTCCACAGGTTTAGTGTTATTATAGTGGAGCACAACCATTGCATGGTGTTTGTTCTCTTTCTTTTGTGGTCAACCTGGCATTTAAGACTAGCAACTAAGATATGCATGCTCCAACGCTAGAAATCAGCAGGGCCACCCGGTGTTACAGAATGTGATTTCCCCCAATAGGATGTGTCCCTGCTCACAAAACTGAAATTTTTCAATTTTCAAGTGGTCAGTATAACTCCCAAAGCTGTACAGTCATACAAAACTGCTCCTTGTTCATTTCTCTTTGAAGTGAGAAATTCCAAACTTCTATTTAACTATATTTCTAATGTTATAAAACAAATTAAATAATACAAACCTGCAATGTATGTTTTGTGTTCTCATATTATCTGTATGTATTTTTATGAGATATGAAATGAAAAATCTCCTTAAAATACTAAATCGAGGCTAGACTTAGCCTCAATTATATCATATCAGGATTACCACATGCCATAGTATTCCTGTTTCGAAGAGGAAGTAGTTGTTCCACTTGAATTGATACAAAAATGAGTAGCTGGTATATTGCAGCCTTGCTCTAAAGCAGTGGTCTTCCATTTTTCAAGAGCTGGGACCTACTGGAAACTCCCAGAGCTCATGCATGTGGGTGGGGGCACAGCCAAGCAGTAAAAGGATGCAGTCTAGGCTAGTTGGAGGAGGGATGTAAAACTGAATTAAACCATACCCCACTTTATTGGAAATGGCAGAATGCACTGTGAAGATCTACTTGCCATAGTCAGGAAGCTTAAGTAGGGCTGAGACAAATCCACACTTCAGCTTTCCAAGAGGCTTTCTGCTTGTCCCATGCTTTTTAGGCACAGCTCTGAGCAGTTTTCCATTTGCCTTGCCTCTTTCCCCAGGAAAACCCACTCTTTACCTCTGAATCAGAGCAAACATCAACACGCCAAAATCCCGACTGGCATTTGCTCCGATTCAGTGGTAAAGAGCAGCTTTTCCCAGGGGAAAGTGGTGGGACAAGCAAAAGTGTGGACGAGCCCAGAGACAAGAAGCACATTCCATGCTGCCAGTACTACCACAGCACATCTAGGGTGTGCATGAATCATAGAGGTGTTTGCATGCATGCATGCTTATGGGCACATATGTCTGCGAAAGGTCAGCATTTATGTGTGGATTGTTGTATGCCTATGAGCAGTGCTTTTTTTCCTGGGGGTACTCAAGGATACCCAATACTGGCAGCTTTTTTTCTAGAAGCAAAGCACTGCCTATAAGTATGGGGTATGTGTGTGATCCTTTTTTCCAAGCATTTTCGTACCTGTCCAATTCAACATTGTTTTATTTATGTTTTAATATGCTGTAAACCGCTGAGATTTTTCTTTAAAATATAAAGTGGTATAGAAATGAAATAAATAATAAGAAGAAGAAGAAAAATAACATGACCGTTCTCACGCCCTTTCTTCCTTTGACCGGCAGATGACTGCAAGAACATTGCCAACATCATGAAGACACTGGCTCACAGAGGGTTCATCTTCAAGCAGACCTCCAAGCCCTTTTGATCTCTGGGGCCGGCCAGACAGGGCTGCATGCGGCCGGCTCCTGCTACCTGGGCGTGATGGGCTGGAGCATTCGAACGACAGAAAGAGGACAGAGGAACGAGCAACCCCACGACTCCGTCAGTTTTGCTGTTCTGCCAGTAGAGGCTGTATATATGGAACTGGAATCTCTGTGTAGGCCTGACGTGACTCCCTCTCTGGGGCCGGCTGCCTGCCCGGCCTGGCCCAGCCTGCAGCCCCCTAGGGCGCTTGCTCCACATGGTTAGAGACGTAGATTGTTTTCCCTTTTGTTGGCTTCCGATTTCCATTGGCATCTTTCTCTCTCTCTCTGCTCATATTTGCGCCTGTAGCAAGACCGTGGCGCCATGTTTGGGGCACTCGCCCTTATTACTTTGAGTCCAATATCGCAACAACCGCGGTCAAGCCCCCCTCCCCTCTTCCTGTGTGAATCTGTTACTGTGTCTCCTGCGTGTCAGCTAAATATTGACTGAGCAGCATCCAGACAGCCCCCCCCCCTCTTCTGCAGGCTTCTTCCCTCCTTCCCTTCTGTTTTGAATAAACACTAACCCTCTGATTCCTTCTGTATGTGATCTGAGGAAGCTCGGCTCTTTCTGTTCAAGGTAAAGTGCCTGTATTCCCTGCCCACCAAGAGCCACCTATCTCCCTGGGGCTTCATTCAGCAGGGGTTATCGTAGGCAGGAGCATCCTGGCTGATGCTCATTGCCATGTCCTGCATTTCTTGAACCCTGTGATCCCTTGCTCATGCCTCCCCAGAACATGGGGAACCCTACTGTGCATCCACCCTGCACTTGCGCATGGCCCCCCTATGGAGCATGCAGTCCATTGCAGGCAGTGGACATGCCCATTACTGCTAGCCCAGCAGGGGGTTGTGTTCCCATTACCCAGCAGGGATCTGCAATTTGACTGACATCTCTGTTACTGCCCCCTTTGCTCACCTGACTTCCTCCTCCTCCTACAACGGCTGCAACTGACTTGTTGCTTTGAGAGGTGTGGCCTATTCTTCCTATCCTATTCCCATCACCTTGGTCCAGTGTGGGAAGACGGAAATAAAGAATGACTCGCCCTCTCCCAGCTCAGTATTTTCCTGAAACCTTCTGCCCTAGCTTTTGCTGAATGGATCCCCAGATGGATAGGCTCCAGCTGCCACCTACCTGGGAGCCACACCAAGAGTCAGGCTGTGAGCTGATACAGGCACTGGGCCTTACCGGTAAATAATGCATGGTGTGTGGATGTTCCAGCTGAACCCAACCTGACCTCCTCATTGGCTCGTTATTCCCATCCTTGCTGTAAATGTGCCACATGAATAAAGTTTGGGGGAAAGGAACCTGGCTCCTTGTATGCTGTAAGGGAGTGGGGCCGGGGGGAGGGTTTATCTGAAATATGCTGCTAAGTAAACTCCTTTTCCCAATACCTCTTCAACTGCCCATGCAATCTGGCAGTAACTGCACAGATGTTTCTCCCATCCTTAAATGGATTTGCGTTCTGGGATTGTTTTGTGACACAAGTACCTTCATGAGAGAAAATCACCCACATATTCCCATCTGTAGCCAAAACAAAAGCTGCTTCCTTATTAGTTCTTCCCCAGGAAAGTATCTTGAGAATAGGTCATACTTTCCTTTACAATAAGCCTCCTGCCCTGTGCTCTACACCAGGGGTGGGAAACCTCCAGCCCACAGCCCTAATCAGGCCTCAGGGGCCATTTTGTCCAAGTCACACTCACCTGCCTCACACCTGACATAATGTGATGTCAGGCAAAGATGCAGCTGCAAAGGAAGAAGCAGAAACCTTAAAGTTTGAGCCTGCTTCTTCCTTAGCAAGTGGAGCTTGTATCTGACACCTTTTAGATTTGGAGCTCCCAAGTAAAGCTGGGTTTTGCTGAAAGTGGTATTTGCACCCACTGCCAATCAGTGGGCACCATTAAAATGTTTTCATACCATCTGTTTAACATTACTGAAGGGCCCCTCAATGAAAGGAGGATCCTGAAGAAGCCAAATATTTACATCTCATCACCTCAGCTCATTGCACCATCAAGGATGCTTAGCACACAAAGTGCATAGGCTGCTTCGGCCACAGGAGAACACTTTGGCTCATGCACCCTCCCCAATCTGCAGGTAGAAGTGGTGCTCACAGAGGGCAATACTCAGGTCTAGATACTGGCCCCTGTTGAAGTTTATATGGTTTCCCATCCTTTTCTCTCCGTTAGCTACGACAATATACCATGTAAAACAGAGCAAAGCCTGGAGCTACATGTTAAAAAAATCATGACTCATTTTATAGAAGTCAAATAAACATGAACACAGAAGGCCAATGAATAATTACCAAATGTTTGTTTAGTGCTACATGACCTAAGATGGCTTATGCACCAATGTGAACAATCTTTTATGATTTAGACAACAATGACAAATGGGAGATTGAAAACAAAGCAAGCTGCTTGGAGAACATACTAATTGACTCCGTAGGTTAAGACAAAGCCCCAAATAAATCACTATCCCCTTTCAGTGTAGGTCTCTGCTCTTTCCCCTCCCATTGTAGCAGTGAAGTTTGGGGGTCTGTTCCAGTTAGGGCCACCTCTCTCTTTATGGCACCACTGCAGAAGGTAATTGCCTTATCAACCCTTTGTCTATGTCTGCCATGCCTTTCTATCCACATGACCATTCATGCAGTAGGGGTTGAAATGAGAACATACTAACATACAACCAGCAGAGTCAGCAAAGGCTGTGTCCTCCACCACCCACTGAAGCCTTGTAGGCCAGTCCATCTCACTTTGGGAGGTTTGTCCTCCAAGCACTAGAGAATATAACTGAGCCTTTCCCACCTCAGGTTAGGGACTTGAGATCAAAGGTCATAGGGATTTTAATGGCTCCCTCTGTGTAATCACCTGATCAGTTTTATTGATTCAGTGTCGATGGAGTCGTCTAATTAGTTTTCTATGAAAACGAAGAACTTGGCCTTTGACCTTTCTTTCTGCCAGCAAGAATGTAAATCAAAGGGCGTTGTCATGCACTATCGATTCCCAGTTGCACTTGAAATGGGAAGGGGAAGGTAGAGCATGAGTTAGGTCTGACAGCAGCAGGCCAAAAGTATCATAGCCCCTCTTCCAACATGTTTCTGATGGAAGATGAATATCTGAAAGGGCTGGGCGGGGGTGGGGGGAAAAGAGTACAATTCAGTCATTAGAACAGTCAGCAAGTAGGAGAAACTCCAGACCAGAATGGAGGGCTACCTCATAGGCTAGCACTCAATATTTTTACACTGGTGAAACCAAAGTTACTTACAGTTAGCTCTTCTTGAGGTATCACTGGCCTCACTGCCTGCCACACACTGGAGAACATGCGACTGAAGTCTTAGACGTAGCCAGTCAATTTCTTCCTGCTGAGGGCAAGGGTTATACCTAGGGCTTTGTGTTCTGCACTAAAAACCCCATCAAAATTAAAATTAAAACTGGAATTCCATGGCCTGTATGCATTATGCAAATGTGCACATATTTGCTCATTTTGCATAATTTATTTTGCTACTCTAGGGAAGGGTAAAGAGCTATGCAAAACACCACAGTCTGATCACTAGAAGTCCTACTTAGCCCTCCTATGGCTTCAGAGATCTCACCAGAAATACTCACGCGCCTTCAAGGTGACCTTTGTAAAAGCTTATGGGCTAGAAACTTCCTTCTTGGTGCTGAATTCTATATTTAATAGCAAAACATAGCCTTTCCTGCAATTGTATACACAGGCTTAATTATACTGACTTGGAATATTCAACCCTACACTTTCAAACCAAACCTTCACAGCTGAAGCTGAGTCTAGCAATGAGAAATGGATGCTTCTTGGTTCTTGGAAAACCAGCATGGATACAGCTGGTTGCTCCATTGGTCACTAATCAACACAATTATCACACACCAAGTCGCCTCTGGAGGGTATAAGAGATACTGGTCTGCATGCAGCAGGCTACAACAGGAACACACTGAACAAAATGGAACTTCCTTCCAAGCAAACACACACAGGATTGTCCTGTTAAAAGAGTCTGTAGAACTACTTTTTTATGTTAGCACAAAGAACTCACCACGACACTCGGGATGGGTATGTATGTCCACAAAATAACACAGAATAATTCTGGCTACTTTTAAATAGATATGGGAGGGTACCTCAGCTACCTGAGAGATGAGAAAACTAGGGATGCAGCATTAAATCGGCTCGCTAAATTGATATTGAAAATTTGTTTAACTAAAAAGGTGCCACTGCTTAAATCAAACGGAAAATCTAAATTATTTTTAGTATAAGGACTTAGAAAAATACATGGAGTGCAGACAACATCTTGGCAGAGGCATGACCCCCTCTCATCAGAGCAGGAAATACCTCCTGCAACGAATGAATGCATCACCTAAGATACAGTATGGGGTTCTTTTCCTCAACTCTATTGTTTAATTCATATGCAGGGCACATGAGGCAAGCAACTGTTCTATAATTAGATGAAACACTGAGGGAAATAGGAACTTTGTGGACATCCAGAAGAACATTGTGTAAGAATAAGACAGAAACAAGCAAGCATGTCTTCCAGTGGGAATGGGATGGTGGTGTGAGAATTAGTGCCCAACTAGGACCATAAAAAAGACCATGCTTCAATGGTGGCACTGCAAAAGGTGGAAGACCTTCAGTGTTCAAAGCAGCCTGAGATATGTCTCTTTTATTGCAAAGATAAGTTTTCAATAAAATAATTTATCCATGTAGCTCTGCATTGCAGTCTCTGCTACTACAACCGAGTGTTCCTTGCAGCTGTGAGATAGTTAATCATGTGTAGCATTATACTAGGGAGTCTTAGGCGGGCGTTCGTCCCCTCCTGCCTCACATGCGTCATAAAAACTATTCTAATCCATAAGATCTAGCTGATGATCCAGCACCTGCCTACTCCAACTCAAGATCTACCTAGACGAAAGCAGCTCCTACCTCCATAAAGGTGCTTCTGCCCACCCACAAATGCTGGATTAGATTCAGATTATGGAACAAGAGGTAATGGATTCTGTATTTACAAGGAAGTTTACAAAAATCAGACATAGGAAAGACAACACAATCACCACAGCAACAACCAGTATGAGGCTGTTAATGCAAGGAAGTCCAACCCATTTACCTGGGGCGGCAACACCCTTTTCTGGAACGAGAGGGCAATGTCACTGCAAGAATCCCATAGCATAAAGTAGGCATACTGGCAAATGCAGCCATCTTGCCCCTGCAGTCAGTGTCCTGATCCTCCGACATCCAGGATCTGGAACTTCAGGCTATTCATGGCTTCTTCACTTTTTTGACAGACGATGAACTGGAAGCAGATTCCCTGCGCTTTCTCTGTTCCAAGAAGCAGAAATGAAAGACAGGTGTTAATAAGAGGTCAGACCATCCGGCTCAGTGGTAGATGCAACACAAACCCTTTTCTAGAACCCAAGGTATTGGGTGTGTCCAGACAAGGAATTCAGGAAGAAAACCACCACACAACACCCGAGAAGACTCTGGACCAGGCCTGGTACTTAAAAGCCCTGGAGGAACCTTGAGGCACAACATTAAGCTTGTTTTTTCACCATAAATTGTCTTATAAATGACTCTAGTGACAAAACTAAGGTATGGGGCAGACCTTTCCGGAGCCAGTATTTCTGAGTCTGACACAAAGGAAAGGAGTAGAGGTAACCACAAGCCTGCCTGAAGCTTGTGAATTAGCATTTAACGGGATTTGCAGATTCCACTGCCTGATGCATGACCCCTAAATCAGTCACAGGCCCCTCCCAAGGGCACACAGTGAAAACTTAGCAAAGTTGGGATGTCTGCAAATTGTACTAAAAGTGCCTGAAGTTTCCTCAACAGACCAACTGGGAGAGAGAGTGCGAATGCAGAGAAAAGGGAAATGATCCACAGAAATTATCAAGCAACATTGGCAGCTTAAGGCCAATGCAGGAAGTGAAAGGCATTTAAACAAACAAACAAAAAAACCCAGCACCCTCTCCTTTTCCAGGTCTACGGTGAATGGAGGAAAGAAATTAAAATGAGCCCTCTTGGGAACCACAGGCTGCCATCCACCACCTTTCCTTGTTTTAAATGTTTCAGGCATAAATGATTGAGAGCCTGTATTAATAATGAAGCCCCCACACTTCTTGGGGATGCAACTATCTCCATGGCAGAAAATGCATGCCTAACTGCCTTCAGTGGCTTTGATTAGTGGGGAAAGAGCACCACTTCGTTAACTGGCACCCTGTGAAAAACAATACCTAGAATTTGGGGAAATTAGGAGCAAAGGTACATTTAAAGCAGCCAGCCCAACCTGGAAACAAAGGAGTGGGGGCCCGAGAGCTTCCCAGGGAGGCTGCCGAATTAATGGGGATGAGCGCATGTGTTTGATAATCTTTATATGGCAAAAGAGCCATCTTTCAAATATGTCACAAATTCATATTAATCACCTTCCCTAGCTTGGCTCTGCCCGTCGCCGTGGGCAAAAACGGAAAGTGTCTGGTTAGGAAAAATGTTCTACATTGTAATTTACAAGAGCCTGGGAACCTGGCTCCCTGTTAATGGAAAGGAATGATTTTAAAATGAGAAAATATATATTATAAAACACACACGTATCATGATACAGATACACATTTATATAGACGCACAAGCGAGCTTTCTAACTCCATCTGGAAGGAAGGATGTTTGATGTTAACAATGTAACTTCTCACTTTCAAGCAGGCTCAGAAAACAAGGAGCCGGCAGGAGTTCAGATAAAGGCAGCTTAAAAGTCAAATGATTCTGACTCTGAACCTGAGACTTCTTAGAGGCAAGGTCCTTTCCTTTCCCCATTAATGGGCTGACTTGTGAGCCCAGGAACAAAGTGCGCTGATGTGAGGAATTCTGAGGAGAGTCAACTCATTATGGATGGGCGAGTGGAGTCTGAGTCGCACAAATCAAAGGCTCTAATCTGGAGTAACTGGCTGCACTTCTGCTTGGAACTAATTTGTTCCCAAGTTATACTCACCTTTCACCCTGCAAAGGCCCAGAGTAGCGTCCCTCCTGGGTCAGCAGAGCAATGCTCTGGGGTGGGGGTGGGGAGAAGGCTCCCTTCACTGTGGGCTGCCAGCAGTGGGCATCATGACATGCCCACAGCAGACTAAACAAGGCTGGGGTTCACTGGGCTGGCAGTCCGGTGGCCAAAAGCTGAGCCTATGAAGGTGGATATTCTATTTTTTTCCAGCCTGCGATGAGAGGGAAATGTTGGAACTAAAAGCCTAGTGGTGTCACGTGCAGATGCTTGAATGCTAGACCATCTCTCCTACAGAATTACAAAAAAGAGTCCACTTTCCATTGTAACAGAGCTAGCACCCCAAGGGAAATATTGAAGAAGCTTTGGGGAAGGAACAATTGCTCCCCTAAGGTTCCTGTGTAGTCTTTCAGGTCCACACCAATGACCAGCAATTTGGTTGCCATTCACAGGTGGTTCAAATGCCTGTATATATTATTTGGGATGAGAGAGCATGTGGTGGGTGGGTTTGTTGCTAATGCAGGATACAGTGGGGAGGATCCCAAATTCATTACTGGGAAGAAGGTGCTGTCAGGAGAGGGAGCAGAAAGCTGAAAGCTAGAACTTTTGGAAAATACCAAGCAAGGCACTTTTTAATATGCAGAGAACATGGTGAAACGTGAAGCCAAGATGTGTTTCTCCACATACATAGTAGCTCCATGCCAGGCAACTTAACAAGAGCTGTTGGAGACAGGCATGATATTTTATGTGTTCTCTAGTCTACAGAATCACCCTGGCTGCCAGGGTAAAGTCCTAATAGACTTCATTCTGCGTGTGAGTGCCGGCCTTGTTCTGTGCTCTTGTCTTTTCTGCATATCATGGATTGGGGAAAGGCCACACTACTGGAGCTGCGAGCATTTAGAGAGTGTTTTATTTGTTACACTTTTCCACACAGGAGCTCAGAATGACAATTTAGCCTAGCAACAATTCTATGTGGTAGACCAGCCTGAGAGATGCTGCCTTGCCCAAGTCACTCACGGAGCTTCATAGCCAAATAGTGATTTGAACCCAGGCTTCCCATGTTCAACCCCAATAATCTAGCCACAACAACAACAATGGCTCCCACGTCTGAGAATTGCAGAAAATTATCGCTCACTGACCACCTGTTTAAGCCAATGTCCACTTGTTCACTCAGGTGGTGTCATATACATAGAGACAGGCAGTAGGAAAAATACTCTGGATGCTTTAGTCATGGAGCAGAATTGTTCTATGCCCAAATAACTCCTACAGCAGCAGGATCAGCTCCCTGAAGGGCAGGGAGACACACACACACTCCACCGAAAGTGGGGCAGCTTCTCTGATTGGCAGAAGTCATTCCACACACACCCCAATGACACCACTCCCCCACATACTTATGCCCCTCCCCTCCATCTTGGCAGCAACAGTGAACCTCCCTGAGATGCCCCCCTCCTGCTGGGTGGAATTTCTTTCCCCTCCAAAGACAGCATAAAGTGGTCACAGTGTGAATGCGCTTGACCTTTTGTCTTGGACTAATCTAATTGTGTCGTCTTTGTGTAACCAGCCGGTAAAGGTCAGAGCTGTATTTAACAGGGGGGCCCTTTAGGTACCAAATTTGCCTTGCAGTGAATTAACTTGATTATATTTCTTTCAAATATGTCAGAGCCCAGGTCACATTAACCCTCCTGGTGCTGCCTTCATTCTTTTTGTTCCTATTCCAAGCATGGAGTTGGAAAAGAGCAGCACTAGGGAAACATAAGTGCAATGTTTTGCAAACAGACGCAAGTCAGTGAAAACTCTCTAGAGGAAGAAACAGATTCTGAACTGGCCTGCTGCTGAGGCTTGCAGACCCCGCCCCCCAAAGCAGGTGAGAATTTATGACACACAGATGTGGGGCTCAATAGTATGGTGAAGCCCATTCAGTAGCAGAAGCCTCTAAGAATGAGCAATTACTCAAAACTCCATGTCACCTTTAGAGCTTACAGAGAAAGTTACTTGAATATCAAAAAAAGAAGTCATTAAAAAAAAAAAACCTGACACACTGCTGTGCCAACATACTGGGACAGCCATTATGCAAGGAAGCAAGAAGGGTTTGGTGGCCAGCTGACTAATGACCTGATCATATCCATGTTAAGCAAAAGTCATTGGAGTAATCCCATTTACTCCACTTTCTTGGGCATAGAACCATGGAGCGGAAAGACAGAGGATCTCCTTTACTGAGAGGAGATGGAGCAAGCTTGTTTTCTCCTGCTCTGAATGGTAGCACTTAAACCAATGGCTTCAAGTTACAAGAAAGGATATTCTGACTAAGCATCAGGAAGAACTTTCTGACAGTAAGAGCTGTTCGACCGTGGAACAGAACCCCACAAGATGTGATGGACTCTCTGAGGTTTTAAAGCAGAGATTGGATGGCCATCTGCTATGCATGCTTTAGTTCAGAGTCCTTCATTGCAGGGGGTTGGACTAGATGGCCCTTGGGGTCCCTTCCAACTCTACAATTCTATGATTCCCGAGTGACCTTTGCAGTGATAGTGTTTCAAGCAGGCCTAAAGGGGTGCAAGGGCATGCCAACATCAATATCTACTCACCGAATTGGGTGTGAGGGGAGCCCCCACCACATCAATGATCTGCTCCTTTGCGTCACCCTTGCTCTCTTCAGTGCACAAGCCTGACTGTCCATCAGCATGTGAGCCACCATCTGTGCTGGGCCCTGTGCTACCCGCTTTGGCCAATGCCTCATAGCGATGCCGCAACATCTGCAGCTCATATTCACAGTTTGCGAATGCTTGCTTGAGCTCATACAGCAGCACCAGATCACTGCGCAACTCGTTGAACATCTGGACAATCTCCTCTGTCGGCATTGGACTCAGGTCTGGAGGAGGTGAAAGGAAAAAAGTTAAGCAAGGGAACTCTGTCCCTTGCCAGCTGCAGACTGCTCCAATGCTCCTCTGTAGGTCTTCGTTCAGTCCATACTGGCTAAAGCAGAAAGCATTAAAAAGTCGAAGTCCTTTATTGCCCCAGATGTAGCACAACTGGGAAGTTTTGCCTGCATCAGACTCACTGCCAGCCAAGCCTTCACTGCTGTGCCAAGCCAGGGATGTGAGGACAGTCTAGATCAGTATTTTGCAACCTTGGGTCTCCAGCTGTTTTTGGACTACAGTTCCCATCGTCCCTGACCACTGGTCTTGCTAGCTAGGGATGATGGGCGTTGTAGTCCCAAATCAGCTGGAGACCCAAGGTTGGGATGGTCTAGAATAAGCTCCTCTTCAAAGGAAGGCATCAGTTGTGCAACCCCGTTAGTACACAACCTGAGCAAGCCACTGAAGCCAAGCATTACTGTACTTGCTGAATCCAGGGAGTCCACTGCCTCCCCTACCCAGGAGAGGCTAGAGGGGGGTTGTATTTTGCCCCTTAGCCAAAAAGTGCAGGCCAGGCATATCCCCACACAGGTCGCATGGGACCCATCCAGAAGAGGAGCAACAAGGATGCACAAAAGCCAGGCAGAGTCTCACAGACAATGGCCACTAACCCCTTTCACAGTACCTCTCCCTGCACGAAGAGATTTGCCTCCTTAATACTGGGCTGTCACTCTCGATGGCTTAAAGAACCCAAACAAGAGAGAAAGAGACAAAAGACTCTGTTCAAATACTTTTCGACTGGGAGGAATTTTTTGAGGGGGGATATTCTTGTGCATCATCTTCTGGCTTTTACCCCTCTGCTGCTGCTGCTTTTTTTTTAACAAAACACATAAGATCTTATTTTCAAACCCATTCACATAGTGTTATTCAAGGAACTGGCTGTATTACTTGGGGGAAAAAATAGCCCCTCTCGACTACAAAGGCTTTGCTCCATGGGTCTCTCTCTCTCTCTACCTGCCCTCTTTACTCACCTACTCCGAGTTCCATCAGCATCTGCTCCAAGGCTTTAATCTTCTTCTGTCCCACGGAGCTCGGCAGTTTCATCTGGAATACAAAGGTAACAGCCACACAGCTCTGAGCTAGCCCTCACTCACAGCCGCCTAGTTCAAACGGCAAGGGAGCTTTGCTTTTTATAGTGCACGGGGAAAAAAGCGAGCCAAAGAAAGAAAGAGAGAAAAGGGAAATCAAGTGCTGGGAGAGGGAGGCAGAAAGAAGGCCTGAAAGTTTGCAGACGAGGGCCAAGGGCAGGGACTGAAAAGCCTGGTCGCAAGGGCTTTTCAGTTCCTCCCGGTGCCAAGATGCGGAGATGCGCAGCTTTACAGCTTCCATGTGCAACTGAATTAACAACAAAAGTTCTGCTCCGCTTCGAACCCTCTCCCGCAGTGCCCTGCCCATCAAAGAGCTCAATTACACAGCAGCTAATGTGCGATGCTGCCCTACTTTACTTGCTCTTGCCAGCCTGATTAGACTCGTGCACTAACAGACTTCCTTCTCCCTTTACCTGCCGAGCCCAGAGCCGTGGGATTCATTTACAGAGCCAGTTTTCTAACAAAAGACGCAAAGAGGCACAAAGAGCACACACACTAACTCAATTGGCAGAAGTGTGAACACACATTCACAGTGGAGCTGAGGGGGGTATGGGGAGCAGGGAAGTATTAGGCAGGGGCAGGGAACGGAACCCAAGCTGGGCATGAGATCACGCTTAGCTCAAAAAAAAAAACCCAAACCACCCTCACTACAACCCTACAGGCAGGAGCAACTCAGCTAAAGAAAAGTACAAAGAACTCAAGCACAATTTCAAGTGGGAAAGGGGGACTTGAGCATGAAGGGAAAACTAGCCAAGCTAATGGCCTTCAAACACACCCTTTGGGCTTCCAAAAACCCAAGTATAACAAGGACTACCTGGAAGGGCATCGACTTTGGATACCTGCTTCTTTCCATTTCTGCCCTTTGCCCTTTTCTTACACAAGCACCACTGCTCAGTTTCCAGTATCAGGTCGGTGCTCCTTGATTTTTCAATAGGAAATACAGATATCAGCCTCTCTCAAAGGGCCACTTCCAAGTCATGAAGATACTGGGAGCAGGAAACTGGAAAAACTTCCCAGTTGCTTCCAGCCTCTGACCAGTTAAATAATTTAGAGCAGATTCGCATTACCAACTCGCAGGAGGATTATAGCATGTAAAGCGTCTCTCTGCATTGACAAATACTGCTGGGACACACCACCAAGGCTGTCAGCCTCATGGACAATCACAGCATGGTTACAACCATCTTGTGAAAAACAATCAGCCTAAAATCAGGAAAGACGCAGCACAGATACTCACATAAATCAGCCTCACCTACAAGTGAAGGGATCAACTGCAGTGGTGAGAGGGAAACAGATTTCTACTGGCTGCCAAGGTAAGCCAATCAGAGGCCTGGTTTCAGGTAGGCACTATCAGAATTCTCATGAGGCAACAATAATTTTTGCCTTCTCTTAGTCATTACTACCCCCCATAGTGCCCATCCCTTTGCAGTAGGTTCTCAGAACTTCAGGCCAGAAATGGGGATTGTGAAGAATTCCCAAATCCGCAAAGGGCAGGCAGAGGTTCCCTTAGAGCAGGGTTTCCTAAACTTGGGCCTCAAGCTGCTTTTGGACTACAATTCCCATCACCCCTGACCACTGGTCCTGCTAGCTAGGGATGATGGGAGTTGTAGTCCAACAACAGCCGGAGACCCAAGTTTGAGAAACCCTGCCTTAGAGTATGTGGAAGTAGCCAGAATGAGATGTCTAATGGGATTCTGAAGATGCCAACAAGGGTCAGCAATAAAATATGGAAGATTAGATTCTTAACACATGGTACCCTGCTTAAGAGAACAGCATCTCCTCACAAGGCAACACTATTTCATCACATCCTGTTTTGAGGCTCTTCATGTATCCTTAGAAAATCTACCACCTCACTATATAAGTTTTCTAGCCAGTAGAACAACACTTGCATGGCTGAGATCTGGGGGGAAGCCATGTGATGCTTTCCATTCAGAATAAGCACCTTTCCTATCTGAAAGAGCTTTGTTAGGTTTCTAGCTCACTCCTCCCTGCTAATCGCAGCTCCAGATATGCTGTCTTCTATATACTAGCAGAAGGAAATAAGGAGGATCTCCTTCATGTGTCAATCAGAGCTCCATCAATGACAAGCGAGGAAGGGCTGACAGCTGGACCCAGAGTCTTTAAACAGCCAGGATTACTGCCTTGCTATGTTTTGGCCTGATATATTGGCAGCTTCAAGAATAGGAAGGGACAGAAGCAGTCTGGATGGATTTAGATCTACCAATAGACCGCAGAAGAAATACGAGGCCAACGCAGGAGAAGCGGGACTGTTTTGAGTTTACTCGGCTTTAGAGAACATCAATTAAGCTTTCCTTTAATTTTGGGGGAGGATTTGGCCTGTGAACATGAAAGCTCCATTGGCTTCTTCAAGCAAGAGTATATTTTAATTTTACCGTCATTAAGAAAACGTTATGATTTATGCGGCTGCTGTCGAACTAATATCTTTAAAATTTAGCTGGCTAAGCCAATTCATCTTTAAGACTGATGAAGGTTGATTGCTCTCTATGCAAAATGTATTAAAACTAAATGAGGAGTCTATTACTCACAGGGCGCTGATAATCTGTTAGGTAGGCTCCGTTAGCCTGGCTGTCTCAACGGCAGCGGGAAGGCCCAATGCTCCACTCACCTCGGCAGCCAAAAGCACAGGCAGCTAAGAAGAGCAGGCATTCTCAAATCTTGCAAGATTTTTGGTGCAATCAAGTTTAACAGAACTCTAAGGCTACAAAATGCAGGACTCTGATAAACGGTGCTGGTTTTGGCTACCACAAGGACCTATTCCCCTGGCTATGTGTGGCGTTTCCCTCAAGCAGGACCTGTGACTAAAACTGTTGATGTTCTATGCTCTTTTCTGCTTCCTTCAGAGACCTATCTAGGTTCAGGAGTGAGATTCAGCTCTATTTGCCCACAAAGAGATCTGGGTAACCCAACGCCTGTAATAGAAGTGCCTTTCTGACAGAGCTCACTAAAGTTCCTCTAATCTAGGAGTCCCAAGTTATTGCCCTAATAATGTGCAGGAAGGACGTTTCCCTGCATTAAGAGTCCACATTCCGCACCAGCCCTTCAGCAGAGATCCCGCTACACTGGATAAGAAGAGATACAGCTTCGTTCCCAACTCTGTCAATTAACCCTTTCTGCTTCAAAAGGATGCTTGTATCAATTTATGAGCAAAACTGGGGATGTCAATAGTCACATGTTGGTACATGTACTGAAGGCTGATGTAAAACCAAGTATGAAGTTGATATTAGTAGCATGTGCAGTTTTGTTCCTACGCACACTTCTCCATTTCTTTCCCAGACAAATCTTGCATGGATCTTTAATGGGGGCAGATTAATGCAATAATCCAGCTGTTTAGCATTGCTCTTTGACTGGATAGTGCTGGAAACAAAACATTGGGATGAGGCACAGGGCTGAATCAGTTTGACAAAGATGCTTCCGAAAAATGCTGGTGGCCATTAGCCACCTAGATGGAAACTTCAGGCTACATATCTGAAACAACCATTCTGTATCTGGCAACACATCTCAGCTCAAAATGGCAACACTATTTATGGCAGATTGAAAGCCTTCGGGAGCCACATTAGATTAAAGGTGGCCAATCACAACCTGCTATTTTCCACTAGGCAATAAAGTGCTTCCCTTAGCACCCCACTGCAACACCGGAGAAAGTTTGTTGTTAAGCAAGTGCAATGGAAGGATTCTTGAAAAGCATGTAGTGTCAGGCCCTCCCTCTTTGTAATCTATTAGAATTATTTATTATTACTAAAGTCCCCAAATAATCATATCTCAAAAAATGGATTGCTCACATTGAAGAAGTGATTAGCTGGAATTTTTGAGGTTAATATATCTTGGATTCTCCCGTCTTCTGACAACCTCTCCCTGCAGCCCTCTTTGCAACGCCAGCTTGTGCTTATAATTATGCCAGCATCACTTTTGATTTAGGGACTCTGAGCCTTTGTCCTCGCTATAAACAACCAGTAAATGCATGAACTGTGCAGAAAGAGAAAAATAAATAAAAGGGCAACACACCAATATATGAATCAAGGCCACGTGACTGGAAGAAGAGAGCAAGTTTGCAGAGGGGCAAGTAGGTGGGACTTTCTCCCTGAACCACCAATGAGACTGGCAGGGAGCAGACTAGTAAACAACCTCCTGGTTGCCAGAGTAAGACAATGAACCAATACAGGCAAGAATATTCACGCCTGGCACACTTCCAAGCCCTCTTTTATTTTTAAAAAGCAGTAAAACAAAAAAATATGTTCTTACACCAACAAAGACAACTAAAAAGGAGAAGAGAGCTAAATCAGTCAGTTGTTTAAAACCTAAAAAGTTTGAGTAAACAGGTACACCTCACTTGCTGTTCACGTGGTCACAGTGTAGGTGCCTAACATAGCTGTGGGTGGGGAACCTCAGGCCTGAGGCCAAATGAAACCCTCTAGGCTTCTCTGGCCGAACCTCAGGACTCTCCCCAGGCAACACCCATCACAGGCCCTGCTTCATACCCTTTGCCTGGCTGGAATGTGTCCTTGAACTCTGAGAATGCCTCTTGCTTGTCCTGACAGAGAATAGCAGGGTGGGTGCATCAGTGTGTGTAGAAACTAGTTTATGGTATAAAGACAACATTTACATTTGCTGCTTGGCCCACATTTGCCTCCAGCCTCATTTGCCACTGGCATGTGGCCCTCAAGAAGCTTTCACAGACGGGAATGCAGCTCTTTGTCTTTATGAAGGTTTGCCGCCTCTGCTGTTAATAAGTGAAAACTCCACAAATAGGGTGCCACCACAAAGAAGGCTCCGACTTGTCCTGCACAGCTACTACATTTCTTCATGGGTTTTGCTACTGAAGAACTTGCGCTTACATTCTATGCCACAATGATCAAGGATCCTACCAGACTCTGTAAGAATGTGTGTAAGCATGTGTGTAAGGGCTATTATGAGCATATTATTTAAACCATTACCATTTTCCTTAAGCCTGCTCAGAACACTGATTGAGATACATTTAGGTCTCATAAAATTCTGCAAGGAGAGTGCCACCACATCTGGGCTCAACTGAAGTCCATGGTCCAATTGCAAAGCATTCAAACAAAAGTGCCAGACTCTTGCAGCAACAAGTATCAGAAAAATCTGTCTTCTTTGGACTTCCGGGTTGGCGCCATCGGCAATGGCGGAATTCCTCTGACCGGGAGGAATTTGCCCCGTGGGAAATTGGGTCTGGCCGCCACGGCGAAGGCGGAGACCCGTAAGAATCACAGGCGGGAGAAGCCTGTGAACGTGGGATTCAGCGGGCACCTTCTGCGCCTCCCCTACTCGTGGGGAAACCCGTTTTCGGGGCTCCGGAGTGACGTGGGGTGAGTGGCGCGGTGCTTTGAATCGTCTGCTTCTTCCACTGAGCGAAGCCGCACAGCCGTTGCCAGAGAGCGCTGACTTTTTCCTGTGGACAATTTGACTTTAAAGTAATTACCCGTGAGTAGAGCTGAAACGGGAGAATTGGATTTTTAAAAGTATAATTTGGTATCAAAGCGGGGAGGTTCAAAACAGGAAGTCCGCCTTCCCCTTTTGTAAATAGACTGAGGCAATGAAGTTGCAAGCTGGAGTCCTGGAAAGTCTTTTGTAAAAGATTAAATTTCCATTGGTAAAGAACAAAACCCCCCTTGGGAGGCAGGAGAAGAGGGGGGGAAGTTGTGGACTGAATATGCCTGCAGGAGAGAGCGAAGAGATCTAAAACACCGCCGCTCTGACCCTGGAAACGGGCTGCTGGTAGGACTGACGTCTTTTGGAATGTTCATTGACAGCTAGTTAAACAAGAGAAATACATTGTTTCTACTGTTTCCGGCTGCTTTAAAAAGGAGTAAAAGTAACTGAAAATTGAAACTAACTTGAAACTAATTTTCGGATTGTTTAAAAGAGGATACTATTGACTATTACAAATAGAAACTGTTTCCCTAGTGGAAGCCTTTGAAACCGGTTGCTTTACAAGAGTTGGGTTAGGGAAATTTCCAGCTGCAAGTTAAAAACCGTGAGACTCTGGGACTGACCTTGAATCTTTTAAGTGTTATGGTTAATGGAAGAGGAAAAACAGACCAGTCAACTGCTGACAAAACATTAAGGTCTGGGAGGACTTGGCAACAATCCAGGAGAGGTCCACCAACAGGCCCCCCTGCTTTTTCTGTGGCAGCCTTGGTACCAGTATATGTAAAACCAAGAGAAATGTTGACAGAAGAGGCTCTAGTGGCTGCATTATTTAAGATAAATGATTCACTGGATCAGCTTCACAGGAAAATGGACACAATAAATGCGAAAGTGGATGTTTCAATCATTAAAACTAACTTAAGTATAGAAAGTATAAATAATACTAATATAGAAACTACCCAGAAATTGACACAGGAACCTATTTCGATACGGCAAACTGCGGAGGAGGCCAGGGAAAAAGCTGTTGTTGCTGAATGTAAAGAAACACAACTGGAGAGAAAGAGCAAGAGAGCCCCAGTCCTACAGAAGAAACTTGATGAATATAAGTTGACGCTTGCTATGACTGAACTTAAAGAAAAACAGACGAATTTGAGGATTAGAGTTCACCTTTGGTGGACATGCCCAAGGATTAAGACACTTTGGGGGATGATTCATAATGAAATGAAAAAGGTATTTAAATATACCTTTCTGAAGAAACCAGAGGCCTTTCTCCTGGGCATGGTCGGCCAATTGGTGTTAAAGAAGGATAGAACTCTTTTCACGTATGTAACAATAGCAGCAAGAATACTCATTGTGAAGAACTGGAAGACACAAGATTTATTTATCCGGGAAGAATGGCAGATGAAGTTGATGGACTATATGGAATTGGCGGAAACGACTGGCAGAAATCCGAGACCAGGGAGAAGAGTCGGTGGAAGAAGACTGGAAAAAGTTTAAGATTATTTATAGAAATATTGTAAAAATAATGAATGTTAGAAAAATGTTGGAATGAAGTTATATGGCTTTAGTAGAAATGCTATAAGGAATTAAGTATAAATAGACTAATAGAGTATTAAAGGGAAAAATAAGATTAGAATATGTTAAGATAATTATAGGATAGAAAACAGAGGAAGATGGAAAGGAATTGCTGAAACAATTAATAGAAGTGGAATACAAAAAGGGAGGTGTGAGGAGGTCGTGGAAATAAGGGAATGAAAGTTAAGATATTGAAATTGTTTTGTGTTTTAAATGGTTTGCGTCTTGTTTTGTTAATATTGTGTTTTTTCTTTTCTTTGCTTTGCTTTTTCTTTTCCTTTTTTGTTTTTTCTGCTTTATTGTGTTTAAATGGTTGGAAAATCAATAAATATTATTTAAAAAAAGAAAAAGAAAAATCTGTCTTCTTTTTTCTACAGCTTCCAATCAGGCACTAGAAACATCCCTGGAATTTGAGTTTTTTTATTTCCTGTTAATTGCTCAAGCCCTGAATTGCTTTCTTTTTCACTCACAGAAATGTCCAAACTGGCTTTAAATTCCACGCTATGGTCACCCTAGAGAAGTGAGCTCATCCTCCGTTGTATTTAAATCTGATCAAAGGGCAGATTTTTGTCTGCCACTCTTCAAGGTTTATTGTAAAACAATAATCTACTAAATGCATACCATCAGCCATTTTTACGCTGTCCTAGATTTCCTGTAACCATATCTAAAGATTCACATGCAGAGCATGATCCACTTTGGGTTCTGAGCCAGCGGCTCTGGAATCAATGGGCATAACACACAAATACTGTACTGCTGTGCAACTTCAACTCATTTCAGTGAGGGTTGCACAGAAAGGCATTCCTGGTGGGTTTCCACCTCCATCCTCAACTCCCAAGATGGAGAGAACTTTTCTTCACCATGTCTTTTAGGAATAAGACACAGACCAAAGGATTTCAATTAAAAGCATTTAGATTTAAGTCATCCATTAGGAAAGGTTTTCCTAACTGTCAGATCACTACAGCGATGGAACAGGCTGCCCAAGGAGGTTGTGAAATCACCTTCTCAAGCTCCGACTGAGTAATTTCCTTTGAAGGATAAAGTGAGCAGCGATGCAAACATTACCCAGATAAGAGGGAACCATCAAATTGTCCAGGAGCATTAGGATATTTTCCATATGGGTTTCCCTTCCTTTATGTGACCCAACATCCTCTTGGCATTTTTCAGTCACAGCTGCAGATTGAGTAGAGTTCTTCCTTTAGTATTTGATTGTTCACAGCTATGCAAAGTATTTACGCTTTTCAGCTGTTCTTTCCTTTATGTGGATTCTAGGCTATTTTTGTAATGACAGCTCACTTTTAAGGAAATTCTTTCACTCACAGCTGCATTTTACTATACGCAAATCACAGGAAGGTTGACTCTGATTGGGGACCAAATTCTTCCAAGATTACGCTGCAAAAATTACTTCCAGGCCATGTTAAGCAATCTGGCACATGCCTAGAAGTAATTCTGGCAAATAATGGGCTCTAACAAAACTTAACACCTTACTACATGGGTACATGCCCCAAACCCAATATTCTGAAAGGACCAGAAGCCTTTCAATGTCCAACCTTCTGCCTAGAGCTAAATCTCAGAAGTGCACTAAAGGCAGAATTAATAAACCAATATATGCAAATATTATTAGCAAAACTAGTAATTCAGGTATCAGGTATTTGTTTATTTAAAGATTTACATTCCACTTGGCAGGACAATTGTCCTCCCAAGGCAGCATATAAAACCAGTAATAGAACAGATGCATTCAATCATATAAGTAATTCATTTAAAGTTAGCAGTAAAAGACAACTATTTTTTAAAAAAAGAATTTAAAAAGATGATTAAAATAAGAACATCTTAAGGATCCTTTTCTGAAAGCAAGTAAAAGTCACTTCACGGGCAGGGGGTGGGGGTCATATTCTGTAACTGTGGGATCACCACTGAAAAGGCCCTTTTCTTGATACCCATTAGCCTCTAATCTATAGTTCAGAAAATATAGTGTCCATAACTTATCATAAAGCTCAGGCAGCCTGATGCAGGTACAGGCAGTCTTTCACATAACCTGGACTTAAGACTTCAATCGCTAAAGCCAGCACTTTAAATTTGGCCCCAAATGCAGGGGTAAGTGGGTGCACACACACTTGCACATTCATACGAAACCTTCATTGCCCATTTGGTGCATTTGTGATCAGGCGCTTTAGCTTATGAAATCTCATCTTTCAATTAAGCAAGGGTGACAGCCATTTGTGGCATCACACTGGCATGACAAAAACTTCTGCTTACCCTTCCTTTCCTCCTTCCGCAATCTCCCCAAATTCCCTCCAGAGAGCTGGGAGACCCTTTGGAGCAGATGGGGAGGAGAGGAAATCCTATCCACTGGCATGACAGTATTACACAAGCCCCACATTTTTTACAACCAGTCTCCCATAAGTAAAAGATCTGAGAACCACCGCAGTACTGGACATACTGATGAAGGGTTAGAAGAATACTTCTGAGTTGTATTGCTTCAGCGCTCAATATCTGTTAGTAAAACAGAGATGACATTCAAATCACACTTTCCGCCCATCTTGCCACGTGCTCCATGTCCCAAGCTATTATCTCACACATTTGTGTAGTGGAGTCTAGCTCTGCACGCTGTTACTACATGAATGTGTCAGTAAAAGCAACAAGAACACTTCATCTTTCTAACCATTGGAAGTCTTTTCCCATCGTGGCAACATACAATTTCCGGCTAATAAGAAGGTGCTGATTACCATCAGCTTATCTCACCAAAATGCCTTGCAGCACAGTCAATACTAAAGAGATAAATTATTAATTGTTCCAAGTAATTAAATTTATCAAATCCAAATAAATATTACTGGTATTTTATGTAACTGCTTTCAAGGCTCGGCCTCTGAAGGGACAGTATTGATCAAGCGAAGAAAGACAGATGTTTCCCCCGTTAGCAGCTGATGAGGTCTGGCTCTGCATTAATGTCAGAGAGAAGGCGCATGGCCAAGGGCCTCTGGTGAAGAGTAAACAGGCAGCGCACACAACTGCTTCACAGCGAAACAAATCAAATATTGAGAACATGCATTTAATATATACACATACCTAAGCCGCCCCCCTCCCTCGTGCCAAGCTTTGACCAAAATACTCGTTTATCTTGAATGCGTAGTACAATCCTAGCCCCCACCCCAGCCCCGTGCTCCGAGAAAGCAAGCACCACAGTAGATTGTACCTCATTAATCAGTGCTAAAAAAGTGCTCAGTTGGCTAGTAAATATTTAAAAGCCAGTGAGGGTGGATGTGTGAATCAATGGGAATGAAAGCTCCCTCTCCCCCTATTTCTTTTTAATTGGTCTGACCACCAATTTGTCTACAAGATCCTAGTTAGCAGGTAACAAGTAAAACTGCCGGCTGGAAGCCTTTCTTGGTGGAAGGTGTCCAGCTGTGAACTAAACAATTGCACCACAGCATCTCCCAGTGCGCTCCCTGGCTCTGAGGCTGCTAAGAACTTTCTTTTATCCTACTGTTTTTGCCTCATTATCAAAGACTTAGCAGTCTAGAGTCCAGACCTCTTGCCTCATCCCATAAACTCAGGGCAAGAGCCCCAAAGCAGAACCCAAACACACACCTATTCTTTGCCAATGTTCTCTTTAGCAAGGAGGATAGGGTAGCAAGAAAACGTATCACCAAAATTGCCTGACAAAATGTATATTAACACAGAGGGAATATTAAGGTTAAATATAAAAGAAGTCCACATTCAGAGAGAACACAAATTTAAAGCCTTCATTCTATTCTAAGCTGGCAGCATGAAAGTCTACAGGAATAAATTAATTTCTCCCAAAAAAAGTGAGGGGAGATATGAAATTTGTGCACACATTTCAAATTCATTGGCACACAATATATTTGAATCATACAAAACTGCCCCTTTTCCAAAGTGACTACTACACCCCACTCTTCCCAAGAGGTCTAGATTGAGAAAGGGAAGATTGCTTTTATTCAATTCTTTAAGGACTACAATGATCAGGTTTGGTCTTTTGAAAACCAAATTCAGCTGTTAATTACTGATAATTAATTGTAGAAGCAAAAGATCTGTATAGAACTTGTAGTGATAACTGCTTTTCCCCCCTTCAAATTTCTCTAAACTCCTGATTGCCAGCACTTGGTTACTCTGCAAGCTTTAAAAGACTATTATCGAATTAAGGAAATTATCAGGAGTAGGAAAGAATACAGGACATTATCAGGGCACTTCCAAACAAATCTGTTAATTTGTAAGATCTTCATTATGCCAGAATGGGGGGGGGGCACTGGTTTTTTTATGATATTCAAGCAAATCGTTTCCCTCACTATTATGCAGAAAACATCACGTTGATCTTAGATACAAAGCTGCCCCTTGCTTCTCCATTGCAACGAACTGCAGAAGAAAATCTGAACAAGCTGTTTAGAAAGAGGACTTAATCCAGGCAGTTAACAAATCCTCTCCCGATTGCTCCCCAGGGCTTCCATGTCTGCTCACCTTTGCGTATGTCACACTGCACACCATCTCCAAACCTTGTCAATCAAAAACAGAGGTGGGAGTGCTGGCACCAAAGCACATACTGGCAGAAATAACAGCCCAGTAAAGCCAGCTTTTCCCAATCCTGGCCAACACTTAGAATCACAATCACTTGCAGAAGCTTTGGAAATGCCACACAAATATTGGTAAAGCCTCCAGGCTCCATGAGTGCCAGTAGCATAGAGAAAACTATTAACCCTTGAAGACAGAGGCCCAATTAAGAGATATGGATATAGCATGGCTGCAGGAAAGGCTGGGCACTAGTGCACTGATGTTAACTTAGCATTTTATCCCCCCATTCTATGCAGTTCTGCCCTGTGAATCTTGCCAGCGAAGCAAAGGATCCAATTACAAAGCAATGGCAGCCGGGCTACACTCCTAATACAAGAACTGGGACCTCAGACAAGGTTAAATGAGTGGTCAAAGGTCAATTCTCATCGCCCAATATCTTTTCACCCAGTGATTCCCTAGCCAAAACAATGTTGATATTTAATGACAACATATCCCAGTAATGGAGCTAGATTTACCAACGACCAGTCTTGGCATATGACTATGGTCTTAAATTTTAGGCATCTCAAGATCTTTGAAGAGGGGGAAATGGTCCTGGGCAAAAGACAAACTCTGTTAATGGAGTACTTCTAATAATACAGAACATGAGAAATCCTTGCTGGTGGATGGGTTTTTTAATCTTTAGTTTTATAGTTGCATGAAAATAAACAAAAATATAAAATCTTGCTTACTATGTTGAGTATAAAACGAAGCTGATAAAGATGGTACAGATTTGAGTTCAGAAGGAGGGACTAAAATAAGTAATAGTCTAGGACAGGGGTCTGCAACCTTTAAGACAAAAAGAGCCACTTGGACCTGTTTCCGAAGGAAAAAAAACTGGGAGCCATTATAAAAATAACTTTTTTGTCACTTTTTTATTATTTCTTTGTTTGACCCCTCAGAATTACTCCTCCTCATAGAAATAAACGTTAAATTAACAAGTTACCTTTTTGTTTGTGTGTGTTCTTCACTACCCTTCAAAACAGTGACCAGCGTACATGCCCCCTTTCAATGCAGTGACCAGCGTACATGCCCCTTACAATGTAGCGGGCAGGTGGGCGGGAAGGTGACGTCGGGACGGTGCATGACTAACGCACGCACCGCCCCCATGCGACGTCACAGCACCCTCCACAGTGGGGAGTGTCGGGGCGAACAATGCGCCTCCTCCCCTCGCTAGTATCCGCCCTGGAGCCGCGACAAAGGTGTAAAAGAGCAACATGCGGCTCCGGAGCCGCGGGTTGCCGACCCCTGGTCTAGGATCTCTGCAAAACTAAACCCAGGCCTGCCTAATAAGCCAAAGTCCCTGTCCATGCTGGAGTATGATGAAGACTGTGGAAAACCTGGTGACCTTGCCAGAACATTTCACTTCAATGCTTTGGCCTGATTCAGACAGTTGTTTCAAATGAAAGTCTCATGCACTCTCCCATCTTTCCTTTTTTTTCTTTTTTCTTTTTGAAAGTGGAGAAACTTCAGTTTCCTCAGGTTTGGACAAAACAAGAAATTGCTTTCAATCTCCTCTCCTCACTTGAAAAGAAGTGGGAAGACCATGTAAACCCAAGGCTCATGCTCTAAGCAAACAAACCATGGTTTGTTATTAAGGCTGAACCAAGCGATAGCCACTCACCTCCCTGCTGCTGCTCCAAGTAGCATTCCAAGGCATATCCCAAAGTTACACCAATTAACCTACTGTCAGCAACAGATTTCTCATATATGCCAATTCGCTCTTCCTACTGTATTAGGAGTTCTGAGACATGTCATACAGCAAAGCCACAACCCTGACAACGACATCAGTGATTAGCTTGCTCAATAACAAGGAAGGGATCTGATCTGCAACCACTTGCTCAAGAACCTTGACCAAGGAGGGGAGCTTGACAACTGGCCGGTAGTTACTTAGATTTTCTGAATCCAGGGAAGGTTTCTTGAGGAATGATTTCACTATTGCCTCCTTCAAGCGGGCAGGGACCACCTCATCTCGCAAGGAGGCAGTAATCACCTGCCTGGCCCAGCCAGCTGTCCCCTCCCTGTTAGTTTTTATCAGTCAAGGGGAGCAAGAGTCCAGAGCGCAAATGGTCACCCTGACCAATCCAAGCACCTTGTCCACATCAAGCCTTCCAAACTAAAACTCATCCAACACAACAGGTCTAGACAGTGCTCAGGATACCCTTTGAAATTCATATGTTGTACTCGTGAACTCAAGATCCCACCAGCGGATGCAGGTGATTTTGCCATTCAGATGTTCCAGAGGTCGGCCGAGGCTTTGACAAGAGCACCAGTCATATCAGCTGGGAAATACCCCAGCGCTGACTGGAAACCCATTGGATCCATCTGCCTCTGAGGGTGGACCATCCTAATAGATCCCCTGCCTCTGCAGAGGGGAAAAGGTGTCATGGTGGCCGTGAAGCCCTGAGCCACCCCAGAGCCAGTTACTTCAGCATGGATGTTGAAGTCCCCCAGAACCAGCAGTCTGGGAGTCCTCAACACAGGCTCTGAGACCAGCTCTGTCAGCTCAGGCAGGGAGACTGCTGGGCAGTGGGTCTAAGCTGCACCTAACACCTTTGCCTTGTTTATCATTTATGAAAAAGAACCATTATGTAAATGGGGGGGGGGAGTAGCAACAGAATGGGGAAACAGAAAGTTATTTGCCGAGTTAACATTGTAATATTAAAAATGCCCTCTGATTAACTTCAAAAGAGGCAGAAAGTTAGTTCCATGTCCCAACTGCTTCTTCTCATGAAGAATGCTGCAAAATCCAGATGTCTAATTTTTATTTTAAAACTACTCGTGGGAACAGTGCAGTTTGCAGAAGACAGAGCTAGCTTGTGACCCATTTCCCAATGATTTTCCCAGGACTCTTCTCCTGGCTACATATTCTGCTGGGGTCCCATTATCAGGAATGATAACCTGACCTCAGATGGAAGCATAAGAGCACAGAGACATAGTCAGAACAGTTGAGGCTTAAGGAGCAAAGAAGCTAGTTCAGCCATGCACAACTGGCACCTCTAGTGGGCCTCTAGTGCAAACACACAGCTATTATTTCTGAGACCAGCCAGAACCCACATTGATATTACAGCCCAGACTCCAATGGACCTTTAACAGCTTTTAAAGGAGAATAAATAGGAAATGAAAGCAATCAAGCATCCACACAGGGCTCCAACGACCAACATAGTAGCCTACCCTCTGACTCCGCAGTGTGACACCTGCAGACTTGAAGTCCGGAAACTTGATGCCAGCAGTCTCTGGAACAGCCTAAAAGAGAAAGAGACAGCATATGTTTAGAAAAGGAAATGCAAAAGGTTGTACAAGGACCACTCTCTGACAGAGAGGCAGCTGTCAATGTCTGCGCTAAGAAGGCCCTGCTAAGCAAGACTGGGGGAAACTATGGATTTTGAGAACTGCACCCATTAATTTTAATGCCTTTTAAATTGTCAAAGGTGGCTTTGATATGTTAAGATATCAACAATGTCTGCTGGTACAAATCTAGCCGTACTAGGAACGTACTAAAAATTATGGAGGCAAATTGCATCTAAAACAACCAGTGGGACATGGAAAGGGTTTCATAGCGCTAGGCGAAACAAAATAGCACAAACTATACTGACATAACATGTGACATTGTCCTTAAAAGCAGCACTACCCTAACAGCAGTCTCTTCTGGATGAACCAGAAAGATTCTACTAGGCTAAAATCTACAGGGCCTCACACTAGCTAGGACTGTAAGAATGCTATTCAGGTTTCCTAGGTCTCCAAAACCTCAATTAACTTCTACATCTTTGTTTTGCCCAATTCCTGAAAACAGACTCCAATAGATAAAATTACTTTCATGAATCATTTTACACAAAGTTAGTCAACCACCACACTGATTTGCTCACTGGTTTAAAATCTGTTTGCTTTGATCCATTCTGAATTATTTTAGCCTCAGTCTTTTTACTATGCTGCATAAAGTAGAATGCCCATTGCTACCTGAACAGTCTGAAGATAGGGACATTTCTAAAGCATAGAATGTCCCTATTTTCATGCGGAATATTGGAGGGTATGCCTTCTGGCCCCCAGCCCTAAAGCATTATAGCAATAGTCAATTAAATTCTTGCAGAAGCACAAGGATTAGCTCCAGCACAATGGGATTTCTCCCTTCCTCCTCCCTGTGATCCAAATCTGAACCAGAGGGTTGGGGGAACCCCCAGAACAGATTTGGGGACGCATGAGGAGAGAAAAGAACATTCAGCTGAGCAAAGGAAACCCTTGAACTGACAGAACATTCACCTTAACACTACACTGAATGCAACCTTATAGTCTTGACCTGTAGAACTCACAACACGCTAGTATAACTACAAACCTGGATACAAAGCAGGTTTTAAAACCCTGCATGGTCCCAAGTATGGATATATTTTGGAGTGCAACTCTGAAATGCAAAATTATGACTTCTCAAAATCTTGAGAATCTAAGATTTGTTTAAGAATATCTTTAAACTTTCCCCACCTGATCATTGCATGTTTTCTGTTCCATGTTTACGGCCAATAAACCAAGATTAGTATCACTTTCCATTAACTATTTAACTTCTGTACCATTTGTACTCAACAACTTTACTATTCTTGTTCTAGCCATTTGTTCCCTGCATGAACTTCATGCTGTGGGGAAATATACCCATCTCATAGTGCCTTGCATTTTTCACCAGGAATAATGTCTTTCTCTTCTAGCCAAATATTTTCCCATTACAAGCTAAGCATGTAATTTATCCGCTGTTTAAACACTGCAGATTCACAAATGCTTCAATACAATAAATTCTTGGACAATTAAGCTATAATTTTAAAAGCATGTGTGCATATCCTCAGCAGAGGAAGAAAGAAACCCAACATAATAAGCTCTATTGCAGATCCCTCTATCTTTGCCTCCAAATAACGTGGGTCTTGCTTAATTAAAAGGGAGCTATAGTAATCCTAGGAAGCTGTTAAAGCTGACTGGAAGTCAGAAGACGGGCTGAGTTGGATACATATATGTTTGGTACATATATGCTTCTCAAAAGAAAAATTGTCACCAGTCCAACACATCATTCTATTGAACATCTTCTATTAATAATAAAAAAAGCCTTTCCACCCAGAAATTTCAATATTGTAAAGAGATATACCATGGATCATCCATGAGACAACTGATATATTCTGTGAACCCAAGGAAATACTGATGACTAGTACAATAATCACTAAGATAATTCGCTGAGCAGGGAATTATCTCCCGTCATTTAGCAGCAAACTTTCTTACTTGTGTTTGGCCAAGACCTAACCTGTTGAAGCTATGCCATTTGATTTCCCACGTTGCAAACAAAGGAAAGCCCCCATTCACAGCCCAGGAAACTGTGTTGATTACAACAAATTAGTTATTCTATCCCTTCGGGACACCAGAGGGAAGATAATATGACAAATTCCCTTTATCATTTGGCCCTTCACTAAAGAGTCAAAATCTGTTGTGGGGGCTCTTTAGCCTGACACACACAGTATTAAAGAACATTTTATTGCAGTCCCTAGTTAATAAATTGAACCTAGTGCCTAGGGTGACCTGAAGCCAAAGCAAGAAAGATGGACTACCGTGATGGCAGCAGGAGGGGGTACAGATAAACTCTACACTGACCGCAGCAGTGCATGCTGGGACCTGCAGACTCCGCTCCATACTAAAGGCACTGATGCAACCAAACTTCTCCATGTTATTCTGTTCAAGAGAATCCTGGAGCAGTTTTGGGCATGCCCCTGCCATCTCCCCTTGACAATTATCCGCCTAATCCCTAATGAAAATGAGGGACACACTAACTCCCTCCCACACTGCACAGTCTGTCTTCACCTCACATCAGAGCAATTAAACAGGTTGCTATCCCTCACACGCCAGCATGAGCTGTAAATGCTTCAACCTCAATTGACTCTTTGGTAAATGACTTCCCTTTGTTGAGATGATGCTGATACAGCCCTCAATTCAAATTCTTAGTTAAAATGCATTTTTTTTCAAAAAAACACACACACGTTTCCCTGCTACAGTTGGTAATTGACTCCTAATGGACTCTGTCATGGTTGAAACAGCACTAGTGCAACAACAGAAGCTGCCTTCAGGAGCCCTGAGGTGCTTACCTATAGGCAGGCACAAGGGCCCCAGGCAATACTGGGGGAGACAGCCAAACACGCCTCAAGCATTTTGAGTGGCTATTTGATTCCACATGCTGCATGGCATGGAACAATCTGGCTGACTAAGAGGCAAAGGGAAACTGAAACCACAAACCTTCAGGGCAGCCCAACCCAAGTCAGTAGAGCAGTCCTAACAAGCAGTAAGCCTGTAGTGACACAAAGTGGTGCACACTTTTTTTCCTTTTCTTTTTTAAGTATTAGTGGCTTCTTCCTACTCATCTCCCTCCTTAGAGCCATCTGAAAGGCAGAGTCCTTTCCCCAGAAACTGCATGGCGTCAATGCGGTAATTCCACAGTGTATTCTAAATAAAACACAGTGCTAGACGTTTCATATATTATTAAGACATTCCGTTGTTCCACCACTCACAACATGTAAATCATATTGTGGTCTAATATTTCATAGAAAGAGTGAGAAGTTCACAACTGAACATAGGAAAGGTAGAGGCAAAGAGGCATTGCATTTACATTGGTATTTTTTGTACACCACCTTGGTGTTCTGTGTATGGGTGGCATATAATTTTTTCTTTATAAATAAATGAATGTCAATGCTGCTCCTTATGTTATCCATTTACACCTACCATCTTGAGGTTTTAGGAAGGCATAAAAACACTTGTTCTAGGTGAGGGCAGGAACATCAACTAAAGATCATTCTCTTTAACATTTCAAAAATATTGGCTTAACCCTAGATTGGAAGAGCTTCAATTCCTCTGCAAGCCTGTCAATTATGCAGAACCAGAAGCTCTGGGAAACCCGAGAAGGGAGTCTGACCACTACCTCATCCTGTAATTGTAATTTTTTAGAAGAAATCAGCTGAAAAATGTGCTTCTTTCAAATTTCCCTAATCTCCCCTTGTGTTGCTATGCTGCATGGCACAAAGAAGAGCAAGTTCCTTGCTGTGTATTCACTAACCACTGAACTGCTTGCTCTCTGAGAGGGCTTTGCATGAGTCCAGTTTCTCTCCTTCCTAGTGCAGCACTTTCAAGTCCTTCCAGCTTAACCAAAATCCCTCTGCAGCTTGCTATGATTGAAACCCAACTTTTCTCCACACCCCAAGAGATATGAGGGTCTAAAAAGAAACAAACAAAAACACAGAAACAATGCTTATATGGCGAGGACCGACAAACCACCCCTCACTCCCTGCCCCAGGCCGTGGCAGACAAATGGCAAGGTAGACCCTAACAAAGAGGGCAGGCACAAGATATTTACAGGCTTCTCCGTCTCTTTCTTCTGTGGCAGCTTCTTCTTGGGTGCCTTGCGCTCTGCACGTCTTTGTTCAGTGGTGGTGTCAGCGGCGGTGATGAGTTTCTGCAAGTCTTGTGTTCGCTTCTCCCTCTCTTTCTTCCTGGCTTCGATTTTCCGCAGCTCCTGGATTAGATATTCCTCCTCTGCCACCTACAGGTGAAACGGAAACATGACTGGAAAAGCAATCCAAAGGGGCCACTTAATGGCAACAGATGTGCTTCTGGCCTGGGTTTCACCTGCCCTGTGGTCTTCTGGGAGCCAAGTAATATACTACTGGAGAGACAAAAGCAGCAACAAATAGTACAATGTTCTCACCCAAGCAATTTTTAAAGGCTCATGAAGCCGTGAAACACTAGATTCCACAGCCAATCAGACTCCAAAGCTCTCACTATGTATATAGCAGGCTATAGTATATAGATTCTACGTTGTTAATGTCACTATCTCATTGTCTCTCTTTTCGTATCTCCTGCCTATATAAGGGCTCTTCACAGTCTCACTTTCTTCCACCACACATAATTTACAAGTCCATGCCTTTCCTTTCTTGACCCCTTCCCCCATTTTCAGCACACAGGCTGCCCTTGCTATACCCTCACAGATACTCCTGCTCACAGAGCTTTCTGAGTGTGTTTAACACAGTCAAACCTACCTTTCACTTTGTTTCATTTCCTCAGAAATATGAATGTTTATTAACATTCTCAGCCAATACCAGATCAGGCAGTTGCTGCCAGCTCCTTCACCACCAAACTACGAGCTACAAAAGACAAACTACAAGCTACAAAATGATGGCGTGTCCAGGGTGTTTCATGAAAGCAACTGTTTTTCTCCAGGTAATGCAAGTACCCATACAGTAGTTTCGGGGACCTAATCCGCTCAACAACTTCAATCCTAAAAAAAGGTCAACAACTTTGGTTGGCCCTCACAGCCCTTCACTTCATCAAATCTGGCCCTCTTTGAAAAAAGTGTGGACACCACTGCATTACTGAAAAGAAAAATATGCTAAATGCATTGTCTGAAATCCAGAGATAGAACCTGACAAGTGTAATCAGCACTATGCTTCTATCCTTCTCAGACAAAACTCAAATAAAACATATTTTAACACACTTTGTTTTCTAGTAGTTATTCCATTATTCACATTGATCACTTAATATGTGTATGCCCATTACTTGATAAATCACGCTTAAAGGATGGCAGGTGCACCTACTACTACCTCCAACAGGAGTCACATTAGCAGCCCTGAAGGGCACTGGGGAGTACCCAGAAATGACAAGCTATTGCTACAGGTCCAGTGTAAGATAATGTGAGGCCAGGCTCCCTTGCAACATTTCCTGACATTACCTGCTCTGGTGTCCGATTATATAGCCTCTCTAGCTGTTCTTTCCGGCGCCTTTCATGGCCAGCATCAAAAACAGGGATTTTCAAGTCAGTGCCTGGGGTAGCACGGATGTTGGCCAGCTTGGCACAGATGTGATAGTAGCGCTCCTTTAAATCTTCCACTGACCGCTTCTAAGGAGAGAACAAGGATACAACTGAGCTTAAAGAAATCTAACACCATGAAAAAATAGCTTAAAGTTATGCAACATGAACAAAGCATCAGAGAAATGTTAGGAAAATGATTGTAATCAGCGCCAATGAGTGAACTCTATCACAGGAAATAGTTTTATTTATTTCCAGCATCTGCAAAGCATCCAATAACTTATTGTTCTCTGGGCAGTAGTATCCGGGCTTAGTTATCACAATATCGTGGTCCCATACAAGGCTTTGTTGCTCTTCATTCAATAATCACAAATCAAGACAGGACTGCATATTCTGGGATCTTCCCTCACCAATACAATTTTATTAAAAATATAGCCATTCTCCAAAATCCTCTGTTCCATGTCCCCTGATTCCATGGCAACATCTTCACTAACACTCTCCATCTCACCTCAGTTAATCAGTTACCCAGCAGTAGAAACCCTAAAATTCTTTTTCTAGCTTAATCAACGTAGTTCTTCTCCTTGCACATGACGTCAGGTTTTGGGCAAGTAAGGGTGGGGATTCAAAGGAGCTACTGGGAGCTTAAAGTGGGTTGCTGATTGTTCCTTTGCTGGAATAAGAGAGGCTCCCAAAGAGAGGGCCCAGGGCTGAATAAAGGAGCACACCCAAACTGCAAACATGTGTCTACAGGGAGAGTACAACTCCATCCAGCACAGCCTTTTGACTGACCAGGAGCACCTCTGTTTTGTGTGGATTAAGTTTCTATTTGTTCGCCCTCATCCAGTCCATCACTGATGACAGACACCGGTTTAGAATCAATACAACTTCCTTGAATTTAGGTGGAAAGGAGAAATAGAGCAGGGTGTCAACAGCATACTGGTGACACTGAACTTCAACGCTCCAGACAACCTCTCCCAGCAGTTTCATGTATGGGGGACAAAACACAACCTTGAGAGACCCCAAAGGTCAACAGCCAATGTGTCAAACAGGAGTCCTCCAGCACCCCCTTCTAGGTTCACCCCTCCAAGAAGAAAGAAAGCCATTGTAAAACAGTGGCTCCAAACTGCATTCCAACAAGGCATCCCAAGTTGGTATTGAAAGCCGCTGAAAAGTCCAGCAGAACCAAAAGGGACACACTCCCCCTGTCCAATTCCTGGCATGTCATCCACCAAGGCAACCAAAGCCATCTCGCTCCCATAACCAGGCCTGAAACCAGATTGAAATAGATCTAGATAATCTGTCTCATCCATGATCTGAGATGCCAACACACACTCCAGATACCTTGCTTTCTAGGGTGGAACTTCTTAATCACACCCACACACCCACTAAGGTTATGAGCTTCAGCGAGTCTAAACCCCACCAAGGAGTGATCTGACCATGACAGTGGAACTAACAGAAAGTTCCTCCATGCTAAGATCACCATAATCCAATCCAGCACAGAAAACCAAGTCCAGAATGTGCCCTGCAGCATGGGTAGGGCCAGATATTACTTAGGACAGATTCATGGTTGTCATGGCAGCCATGAAAACTTGAGCCAGTCCTGACAAGGCATCAGCACAAATGTTGAAGTTCTCCAGCACAACAAGTTGAGAGGACTCCAACACCAAGACTACTCCTGCTAGAAATGAGACTGTTGAGTGACAGGGTGGGTAGTACACCAACAGAATCCCTATTCTGTCCTAGCTATCTCACCTCCAAATAAACACTGTTGAGATGCCTCTCAGAGCTTAACAAAGCATTTTTTCCTTGCTTTTGTAAGTCTCTTACCCAATGCAGCTGGTGCTTATAATGTTTCACACAAAACTTCAGGAAGAGAATTCAGGAACCCTTAACAGGCATGTATTATTTTAACCAGCACACTGCATAGTCCATGTCTGCAGATCCTTAAACTGGAAATAAGTTTTATTCAACAAACTGCACCATGGCAACTTCACTGTAGACGGTATTAGCTGACAGGCACTTACTTTGAACTGCTGGTGGTCATAACGGTCATGAATGACCACAAAGCGAAGATCGAACCGTCTGGATAAGTCAAAGAGGTGGTCTGTTTCAGCTTTGGTCCAAGCATCATCATGAAGGTACATCTGATACTCCTGTTCTGAGTAAATTGGAATTTGCACTGTCTGCAGAAGGAAAGAGCAGACTGAATGAGACGGCTTGCACAACATACTCCCCCTCATGCAGGATTGTTTCATCGAGCAGGATTACTTTGAGGTAAAACAAACCCATGATTTCACAGGAAAGAAATCCAGTTGCCCACTTCTATGCCCCAATCACAAGTCAAATGTATCTTCAAAATGTAAGCTTTATTTCCCACATCCCATCTTTGCTGCCACCCAAATGATACAGTGGGGGCCGCTAGTTCCTTCCATTAGTTTTATCTGTTATTCCAATGTTTAAGGGACAGAGGAGGCTAAGCACACAGCCGAACGTGGCGCAGCTTTAGTGGCCGGTTCCTTCAGAGCACTCGGCCTCCTCCAGACGATGCAACATTGCACATGCGTTACATGTGTGATGTCACACGTGGCGGGCCCCCTCAATCTTGGGGCAATTGCACCTTTACTCAATGCTATCTCCTTAAAGATATGAACAGCCACAGATGTGTTCCCAGTTGATAATCTACTTTTTCTGCTTTCAACATAAACAGGGGGAAGATGTACACGTGAGAATCACATCTGAGGAATGTGCCTCTCTCCTAACACAACCTCCACTCGGGGCACTACATCAGAAGCATAAAAAGCAGAAGTGCAAAGTTTGTTTGGGCATCTAACAAATGTTCAACCCTACCCTAAGGGTGCCAACTCTACTGGAAAGAATTTCAGTTTCAGATGTCACAGTATAATAAAGTTTGCAATGCTCCTGGTCCAATCTGACCTCACATAATTTTGTGTGTTTGTGTGTGTGTTCACACCTGCACGCTCCTAAGAGAAAAGTTGCTAACTTTTTGTGACTTTTTCATGCTAACTTTAACTTGTGGCTTTAAGGCACTACCCAACCCAATATTACTTAGATGCCTTCCAAATCAGAACTTTCAGTGTGGACACTGATAAGTAGCAACAGTGCACACACCCCACAGGACTCAAGTATTTAAAAAAATTAAAGAATACTACAGAGTTTAATGTCCTGTGATACCAGAATCAGTCTTACACTTCTGAAGTTGGTATGGGAATTAACCCTAGAGATAGCAAGCGAAAGAAAGAGGGTATTTGGAGATGTCGTTTGAGATATTTTGGCACAAATTTATCCACTCACTCCCATTTCACAAACCCTGTTCAAGCCTTCACACTTAATACAAGCTCTGATCAAGCCTCCATACTTTGTTGAATCTGGCGAAAGGGTAATCCTTGCCCTCTTCTGCTGCCCTCCTCCAGTGGTAAAACATGGCCCCATCCTTCCTAGCAGGGTTGGTGAAAGGCATCCACTTCCAAGGCCGCACTTTCTTAGATCCCAGCTTTGCCTTAACTGTGCGGTAGCCCTGCGTTGTGTCACTTGGAAGAAGGGGAGGTGCATCCCTGAAACAAAGACAAGGTACAAATTAATGGAACCTACTGTCTGCATGAGGCTCATTTTGCATATTTAATCCCCTTCTATGATCTCTGAGGACTGCTTAAAGATCAGTGTAAATCTAAGACAATTCTGTATACTGTAGACTGATCTTACACACTCAGCACACAACCCAAAGCTCCACAGACCAAAGAGGGTCACAATTTATTAGTCTCTTACGTGAACATAGGCCAGTGAGGTACAGAGTCTGCAATCAGCCCCCCCCCCCCATTATTTAGCCTGGATGTGCATTGGCTAATAGCAGCTCTGCTTGCAGCTGCTGCTGACACAGAGCCTGGTTTTCCACTTCCTCAAGTTGCTGTTCATGGTCACTGGCATGAAGTGTAAAAAAAGGACAAATGGAACTGTCAGACCTTAAAAAAAGAGCATGCCCAAAGATCTCCTAGGACAGATCCCAAGAACAAGTATGTTTCAGGAATAGGATGCCTCTTTGCTTGAAGCTATAAAAGATGGAGCTGGTGGGATCATTAAGGGCTCACTGGGCAGCAAGGTTAGCTCTAGTGACCATTTATTCCCATCTGTTCAGTTCCTCTACAGAAAATGAGAAAGCCAACCAAAAACCAAAAAGTAGGTCTTATAATCACCTCTAAGGTGATTCTGATAGCAAGGAAGAGACCTCTTAGAAGTTAAATACAAGCTAAAGGCTAATCACAGCACATTCTCATAATGGAATACCATAGTTTCCTTTTATGCACTTTCAAATACTGCAGGATACAGAAAATCTGCTTTTTTCATTCAATCTAGGAATCCACGAAGCATAGTGCTCCTAAAACATTATTTAGGCAAGGCATAATAGCACGGCCTTCTTACAATTCAGCCTCTGACATCTCTTGCCCTTTACTTGCTTCTGATTCTCCTTCATCATCTACCACAAACAGATGAGCGTTTGAAAATACAGATAAATTCAAGGAACAAAACAGAATGTGAGAGTTGAGAAATCTGTTACAATTCATGTGAACTTTCCATTGTCTAAGGTTCATGAACCCAAAATGAAAATTCAGAATCAAAAACTATAGCTCTTCCAGACAGTAAATAGTTCAGTATTTCCCAACATTCTTTTTAAAAGGAGAGTTCCATGCCCTCAACATCTGAAATTTTTACATATCAAAAGGGCTTCACACATTTAGATTATGGAGATCAAAAATGCTGAAACAGCACTTCCAGTAGAGCAAGTCATAGATACTAGGAAGGGGCTAAAGGTAAAAACACTATCGAAAGCTGGAGAAAGTAAATTTTCAAGAACAGACTTGTCAAGGCTTTCATCTGTCAAATACCTAGGAGATGAGAGGCTGGTTTAAGGAAAACACCAACTATCCAGGTAACAAAACTTACTTTTTATCAGAGTACAGTAGTGCATAGACCTCCCGGTGCATTCCTTCTGGTCTCTTAAATGTGAGGGTCTCCGATGACTTCTTGGATTTTTTCTGAAAAATAAGGTTTTTATCAAAGGCTGTGCAACCTTAACACCAAAATTATGTGGGAGTATAAACATCAGTCTCTGTTTATTCTGATTTTTACATCTGACAGATTGCATCTGTTCTCTCCTATGCAATGCCTCAAAACATCACAATCCAGCTTTATTGATCTAACTTTAGTCAAGCTTAAACTCTCAGTACAAAAACATATGAGCAGCAAGAGGATGTTGTTTATATTTTGCTTTCCTGCAAAGTCTTCACTTCCTACTTTACTCATAGTTCTCAAAATGCAGGAACATTCTGGAGGTGGGGATTAAGAGGGTAGCAGAATTTCTATTTGATGACAGACAATACCTGCAGTGTCAACCAGACCTCCCAAAGTTCCGCAGACAAACCAACTTTCCCTAATTCTCCCATCCCTCCACATTTCTGTCATTCTGCTGCAGGTGTGATTCTCATTTATACTCAACAATCTAAACAATGCTGCAAATATAAACAGGAAGCAGCAAAAAGCAAGAGAGAGGAGCCCTTCAGTGAATATAGCCTGAGAGGTTTCATGAGACCCTGCAAATCCTAGTGTAAAGAATGTAAATGTAAATATCATTAACAAAAGTAGAATGGCTTGCTATTTTCCTTATGCCCAAAAAGGACATTCATATTATGCATCCCAGCTTTATGCTGTATATAGATGAAACAAAATTGAAATAAGTGATAGCACATTGCTTTCACCAGCAGGTACAGAGATATTAATTTCTTTAGACACTCAAATGCAGAACTATAGGGACAGCACAGAATGAGGATGCTGAAAAATGTGTTATATTTCATATTTCAAAAAAAGAAAAAGAATCTGATCTTTTATTTCTATTTTTTAAGAGGAATGTAGCCTCACAACTTGTTCAAGAATAGGGTAAACAATATTGCTGTATGCAGCAATCATGCTGGCAAGATCCAAAAGAAGATCATGTTGCATGCACATAACTTAGAATTACAAGCACAAAGCTTCTCCTCCTCCTATCCCCTTTCTTCACCCCTTTTGTACCTTATCAGAATTGATGATATCTTTTTTATTAATAGTTCCTATGTTCTCAGACTCTGTGCCCCCCAGTTCCAATATATCCCGGACATCAGCTCCTGTAGTCATTTTGTCACCTGAAATAAAAATCAAGGCATAATTTAAAATTAAGTGAATACCAAAAGGATACAGACTAGCCTTCAGAAAATTAGCTGCAAAATTTGTTGACTTCCTCTACATACAACAGACTGCTTGTTACTTACTTACTTACTTACTTAGGAATTAATTTTCTCTTTTCCATACAGTTAACTTACCAAAAATACAAGCACCTGCAACAGTCTTGGCAGGCACATGAAACTTCTATACCCATGGGACTAATGACCAGAGCTTTGTTTATTCCATGCACCCGTGTGTTTTCCACCACACTGCAGAACCTGCTATTTATGTTATGTTATATTATGTGAAAAGCACAGGCAGCATCTGATAAAGACTTAGAATCCTAGAACATGGTTTCTAGACTTCCCGTAGGGGATGGGCGTTTCGTGTCAGCTATGTGTCTGTGTCTACTATGGTTGCTCCTCGCTATCACCATCACTACAAGTCTATATACAAATCAATCTTCTTGCCATTCCCTCCTAACAGTCTATGTCAAAAGCAGCAGACAAATTACAGTGGTGCCTCGCAAGACGAAATTAATCCGTTACGCGAGTGTCTTCATCTAGCGTTTTTTTCGTCTTGCGAAGCAACCCTATTAGCGGCTTAGCGGATTAGCGCTATTAGCGGTTTAGCGGCTATTAAAGGCTTAGCGGCTTAGCTGCTAAAAGGCTATTAGCGGCTTAGCGGCTTAGAAAAAGGGGGGGAAGCGGGAAAAAAATCTCAAGACTCGCAAGACATTTTCGTCTTGCGAAGCAAGCCCATAGGGAAATTCGTCCTGCGAAGTGCATCGAAAAACGGAAAACCCTTTCGTCTAGCAGGTTTTCCGTCTTGTGGGGCACCACTGTATTTGAAAACCTGAATCTCTGAAGCAGGAAAAAAATAAACATAATCACATCTATGTAATCTAGCCAAACCAAATTTAGAAATTTTAGTAGATTACACACATGCCTGGTGTCAAACTTGATTAGCAAGAGTTAAATAAAAGAGCTCCTTTGCATCCACTGTCCAATATATAATGGTATCCAGGCCCAGACACGACATAAAATAGAAAAAGAAGTTGAATAAGAAACCATAACAAAACAATTCTGTTTATAAAATTCTGTTTATATAAACTACTATTCTGAAATACGGAGGTAGACAAGCATTAGGAAGCGGATACTGGCCTGGTTTGCATGCCACATTAAACTATAGTTTAAAACAAACTATAGTTTAAAATGAACAAGTGCCACGGGCGTAACCAAGGGGGGCAACTGCCCCCTCTAAATCAATAAAAATCAATAAAAATACATAGCTGAGGCCTGCCCCCACCACAAAAATCCTGGCTACATCCATGACAAGTGCTCAAACATTCTCACAGAATTCCTACTCTGTTCCTGCTGCACTGCAGACAAAACAAGTCAGGGTCTGGCTAGTTATGTGATCCAAACCTGGGCTCGTGGCTTGTTCCTTTCCAAATGAAACATGAGTGGGTGACCACAACAAATCTTAGGTACACTCATGCTTTGTGTAGAGCCATATCCACAGCACAGCACTGGTACGAATGGGGGAAGAGTGCTGTGGGAAATTTTGATCCATTTGCACCAGGATGCTGCTCATTCACATTAAACCATTATTTGTTGTAAACTATGGTATAATGAGATGTGCAAAGTGGGCCACTGAAATATACGTGCACAAACCTTAATCCCTGTTATTAAAAACGAGCCTAAAGATATCCCACACAATAACACAGACTTTATTTGCTGCTTTGTCCACTCCTGCAGTCACTTGATGACATCGGACCTGAAAGCTATAGCAGTTCCCAGAGCAGGTTTCTGCCTGCCCTCTTGCCTTCTGCCCAAGCCACTGTGAACAACGGGGCTGCAGAGGAGGCAGTGTCTCTGCCCATCTGCCCTCTCCCACTACTGCCTGGCTGCAGTTTAGATCGCCCCGCTGCTCCCTGATAAGAATGTCAAGTGCAATCCTAACTACAGTTTCAGGTTAAGTACTTAATTCGTTCTGGAGGTCCGTTCTTAACCTGAAACTGTTCTTAACCTGAAGCACCACTTTAGCTAATGGGGCCTCCTGCTGCCGCCGCGCCGCCGGAGAACGATTTCTGTTCTCATCCTGAAGCAAAGTTCTTAACCTGAGGTAATATTTCTGGGTTAGCGGAGTCTGTAACCTGAAGCGTATGTAACCTGAAGCGTATGTAACCCGAGGTACCACTGTATGTCTACTCAGACAGAAGTCCTCCTAAACTCTATGGAGCTTACTCCCAAGCATGTGGGGCTAGGATGGCAGCCTTAGTTGGAATTCGGGAGTTCAATTTGCGGCCTCAATTGTTGCATTATGAATGGAACAATATTTCTGGAATAGTATTGAGATAGCGTTACATTTCGACAAATGTATGTTTTTCATGATGTTTTGGCGTGGACTTTTTCCTATGGTAGCTCTGGAGTTCCGGAGCCCCAAGGGAAAAGACACCGGATACTAATGAAAGATACACCCCCAGCTCTCCTCCACATACGCTGCAGCCCGCTCAAATGGCCCCAGGCTCCCCAACCCACGTTATCAACTCCGCGCGCCTCAAGTTTCCCGCTCTTCACGGTTTCTTACACATTCCCAACTCCCAGCGTATCCCCCACGCACATTCCCATTTCCCTTCCCCCGTACCTCACACTTTCCTTTCACAAGCTACCAACCCTAAACCAGCAGCAGCGGACACCGGTTGTGCAGCGCCGATACGGGATCCCAATACTACTTCCGGTCCCCGTTTAATCCGAGAATCGTTTCCCACTTGGGTCCGAACGTGCAACACCAATTGTGGCTCGGCTAGCGTCAAGAGTTCCAAGTTGCTGGTTCCGTTTCCCCGCTTGAAGTGGAAAAAACTTTCTAAAATTTTGACGATAAAGTACAGGGTGGAGAGTAGGCGTAAAACTAATATCACTAAAGTAGAATGCGGATGGCGATTGCTTTGTTTGCGTCAAATTCTTCTGATGCGTTTTTCACTATACAAGGGGCGTGGCAAACAGAGTCAACGCCCCTCAGTCGATGTCAGAGCATCGCTGCTAAAAAGTAAGGCTGCCTGTAAGTTGAAGCTACACTTTATAGTAAAAGCAGGGAATGTTGCTGCGCCTGTAACATCTTACAGCACGTTTTCCGTTCTTCCCTTAACGCACACTGCATAAATTCTTAAACTGGATGATCGCCATAACGGTTTTCCTTTTTTTAAAAAGTTAGTAATTTTAGTACAATATTTATTCCCACAAGTGGTATTTCCATAGAATAGCTACAAATCAAACTCATCCAGTCTGATTTGAACAGACAAAACAATTTATTCCCCAGTATCTGTGTTAAAGGCAAAGAATGTGAAGGGAGCTGTAGTCCACCAAAGGAGGAAAAAAATCCAAGGGAGGAGGACAGACCCCCTGGAAAATCTATGCAATAATTTGAAGAGACAGTGGTTAACTGCGAGAGGGGAGGAGGGCAGACTCCTCACAGAGTCTATGCAGTAATTTGCAGCCAACTTCTGCAATTGGGTACTCCTGGATCCAGTGCTTTAGGTTACTGAATGGCTATTGTAGCCAGGACTATTTTTGCCCAGCGGTTATCATACCAGTTGCACTGATTTCTGAAGAAAGCAAAACTAGTCAGGGTAACACATCCCTTAGTTACACCGAGATGTCAATGTGTTCTATATAGGGGTGCTTTCAAAAAGCATCCAAAAAATGCAGCTGGTTCAAACTGAAGTTATGAGGTTTTTTACCAGAGTCAGTTTTATGGAGTATCATGTCACTCTGATTTTATTACAACTTTACTGACTGGCAGTTCTTTTCCAGGTGTAATTAAAAGTGCAGGGTGGGAAATAGAGGAGCATCCTCTGTAAAATAGGACACATAGCCACCAGGAGTGTCAACTTGAATAAAATAGGGGGGTCCGGGTAAGCCCCGCCCCACATAATTTATCACAAGACATGAGACACACACATCATCTGAATGGCAATGCCCATCAACTTGGCAGGGAGACCCTGAAATATTTTAGGGGGGCGCAAAGAGACCTCAGCCCCAAGGAGTTGGCTCCTATGATGGCTACCCTATCAATGTTGATTCCATATGTCGATATCAATACTGAAAGTAGCATTTGCTTACCACAAATGGTATTTGGTTGTACATATGAGTAAAAACAATCTGATGCACAATAATTATTTCCCTTTGTTCATACGTCTTCACTGTACCCATGATGGATAGACAGACAGACCCACATGCTCATTGCAGGTACCACACTATCCAGGGAACATTCTGTGTCAGGTTACATGCTCAGTAAGCTTTCAGCAGAATCTTTTCCTTCCTGCCTAGAGAAAGAAAATGCAGAGATAGAAAAATCACAATAACTTCCTGGACAATTTTATGCAAATAGAGACAAACAGTGCATGTATGCACCCTCACCAGAAGAGAGCAGCACTCACCACAAGAAAGAACCATTGCTGGCGATCACATTCCCTCTGCCAGAACACAGACTCTCACATGCTGAGCTGTGGGATGCATCCTTTGCTGAGCAGACGTAACTTTTGCCAAAATGTATTCACATATGCAACCACATCTCATTGTTGGGGTGGAGAGTGGATGTATTTGTCCTGTCTTTCTCTCTCAGCAGCATGTGTAAGTATTGAGAGACTAAGGGCTTGTCCACACAGAATTTACTGTGTGGTTGCTTAATTTGTGCAGTCAAATAACACAAAAATCTATGCTTTCCCCTGTAGATTTGACTTTGTCCAATATGGAGATAATCCAAAAAGTTGAGGAAATTGGGCTCCAAATTGCTCTGCTCGGGGGTTACAGAAAATTTGCTTTGGTGTTTTGGGGTGGGAGGATCAACCATCAATTTCTGCTCTTCTCCTTTCCACACCCACTACTGCCTCAATGCTTTCATTTCTTTTCTGGCCATGTTAATAAGTTTCTGGTGTTCTCCTGAACCAAAGAGCATAACTGTATACTGTATATATTAAAACAAATTTAAAGTGCACACTTAGTGTTAAGTCAGGGTGGCAAACCATGTTCAGCTGAGGGCCTCATTCCCTTATAGGCAACCTTCCAGGGACCACATGGTGACAGAGGCCAGAGGCAAAAGTGGGTGGGGCAATTAATGTAAATTTTAGCTTTGTACACTAGGCTTGTTTTTATACACACACACACCCCTCGCTAGTCTCCATCCAGACAAGTAAGAGGCATGAAGAGACTTCGAACGCACATTCCAGCCAGGCAAACCCTCAAAGAGGTTACAAAGCAGCACCAGTGAGGGGTGTGGCCTGGAGAATGGGGGTGTGGCTGAGGAGGAGCTTTGGCTTGAGGAGAATCCTGCATTCAGCCCCAAGCTTGAGGTCCCCCCCCCACCTGCGACCCATGTTTTACTAATGCTAGGTGTAATCCAGCCAACACCCACCCCCACAAAATACATTGGCGCTACCCTCTCTGTGGGGAAGGGGGTGGGAGAAGTGTCCTTCTGTGTGCTCTTATTTTTAACAGAGAGAGATGCGCTTCTGTGAACATGTAGCTTCAAATTCCTCCTTCAACAAGCCTTCTAAAATATTCATCCCCACTAAGTGCTTTTTTTCTACAAAAATCTTTAGGGGTACTCTCATTTTGACTCAAGAAAATCACCATTATAGTTCAAATCGGGGGAAATAAATACAGTAAATGGACAAAAGTATGAAGATTCACAAAATGTTTAGGGGTATGCGTACCCTTACGTACCCCCAGGATAAAAAGCACTGGGTATCTGTCTTGAATTTGAATTGATTTTATGTATGTTCTCTTGCTGTATTAAACTGGTTTTGTATATTTATAATTGTTTTATTTAAATGGTTTTTATATATACAATTGTTTCAACTGTTTTATATATGGCTGCTATTCTATTTTATATTTTATATGCCTCATAGGAAGCAATTCTTAAATGAAATTAATAACTATAATAATGTTAATAATAGTCCAAATTAGTCCATTTTACTCCTGCAGGTTTTTATTTTTAAACATCACTTGGAGTAATCCTGTGATCTGTCAAACCGCATCCAAAAGCTGATTGTTCATAAGCTGGGTGCTTCAGCTATGCTGGTTGTGAGTTCTACAATTCGCAGACATGTATGGCAGGGGTGTATATTTTAGAACTTCAGGGAGTAAATAAGAAAGCACCAGGAAAAAATGTGGAAGCATCAGATAGACCTCACATGGAATATTTTTCAAATACACCCTGCTGAGTTTTCAAATGAATTAGAACCTTTGTTCTCACAACTTTGCTAGGGAAGCTATTTTAGAATGTCACACTTTGGATTATTTGAAAGCCTCTTTTTATCTTCAATCCAAATTCAGTGCAAGCTCCCAGGGGACACTCTCTCCAGCTGGGTCACTTCTGTGTATGCAGGAGCCCTTTTGCCTTTGCACAGTGGTTTTTGTTAGTTTTCAACCCTTAACTCCTTTCTCTGTCCTCCACAATACCCTTTGGTAAGCCCCCCCACCCCCCACATCTCCTGTACACAACTTCTCCAATTTGGGAGTAACCCAGGCTCTGTCTATAGTATAAATACACTGTGTGCATCAATAAACAAAGACAGTTAGAAGCTTCCTGCTGAAGTCCACTCTGTGCACTTGCCTGCTTCTTGAAACAGAGCTGCCTTTACCTAGGTCAATAAAAGTGATATGTTACAAACAACCTCTACATCTGAGATAGACCTCCAGAGAGGCTGTGACTTGGAGCTGTGCTGTAGAAGTACAGGTTGGCAGCTATCTCCTCTTGATTAGCCCCTTTCCTCAAGTCACCCAGCATCATTTCTCCCGTGGGCTCCATATACCATTCAGCATCTAAACCTTCTCTGTTATGTACTGAAGTTCTCACCCTGGGCCAGCAGGGAGATACTGTAGATAGTTATGCAAATAAGGGATCGAAAGTGACGTTCAGTGATTGGATAGTTTTAGAAAGTTGTTACAGTAACGTTGTACTGGAGCTCTATATAAGCAGGCTGGCTGAACCCTTAAGTTCAGTTCTGTCCTGGCCTGTGAATAAACAAGAGCTGTTTGAAGAATCGCTGTGTCGTCTGATATGTTCAGCCACAACTTAACATTCTCAATGTGTTTTAGGTTGTATCCACATTATACCTTTAAACAGTGCTTTTTTCTGGGGGTACACAGGGGTACGCATACCCCTAAACATTTTGTGAATCTAAGTTTGGCCTCATTGAGGGGCAGTATTTCAGTATGAGTAGGAAAATGAGAGTACCCCTAAACATTATTGGAGGGGGAGCATTGCCTTTAAAACACATTATTTTCTTCAAAATAATTCTGGGCACTGTAGTCTACCCCTCACAGAGTTGCATTTTCCCAACACCCTTTAACAAACTACAGTGCCCAGAATTCATTGAAGGCATAAATGTGCTTCAATTGTATTTTAGAGGTATAGTGTGTACACAGCCTTAGACTTATTGTTTATTGGGCCAAAATGTTGATTCTAGCTATTTGCTCTACAATATCACCCTTTCCAGGTCCGCCTCTCCTCTCAGCATTAATTCCTGCTTAAATATCAGAGGGAAAAGGAATTCAGGATTCCTTCTTTAAATGGGAACTTGCCAGACCTTGAAGGGAAAACAGAGTCCATTTGCCAAAAACTGTCCCAGACACTATGTGTGTGTAGGGGTGTGTATGAGAGAGCGGCTAATTATACTCTGAATATGAATCAGTAGTGCAATGCCGACAAACAGGGACTTACTGCTGCATCTCGATCATAAAAGCCCAAGCGCAGACTTGCTGAATAAAATTCTAGTTCAACAGCTTGTTTCAAATTGGTGTAGTGCTGGCTCCAGGTTCTGGGGGTCTCTTGGGCTAGGTGTCCTCAGTGTGTTTT